GGGCCAGCTCCTAGTCATATCAGCAAGTGTGTCCAACCAAACGTGTTCGCTGTCCTTAAGACCCCAGCCAGGTAATCGGGATACACCAACTGACTCCAGCTTCGAAGTGAGAGTTTTCATCTCTCTCGACCAAGTCATCGCATGGCTTCCCCTCCTCCTCTTCCAACCGCACCCACAACGCGCAAACAATGCACATCGCGCGAGCTGATGTCCTGGCGTGCACAACACGTGACCCAACCATCGGAGCTTGGTGCGTGATATAAGGATGCTGAGCGGTTCACTCTCTTTCTGCACCAAATACGCCTCGCCGAACACACCCATTGCTCACGCGGTGCTCCCACCAGACATGAGCTAAGCTGCGAAGGCAGCGATGATCGAATATGACGATCCTCTTTATGTCTCTCGACTTGATGGGCCACGTTTCACAACCATATAAGAGAGTAGAACGGACGGCTGCGTTGTAGACTCTGCCTTTCATGGCGAGAGTAATGTCGCGTCTGCGCCACAGGTGGCTGAGATTGGCAAAAGCACCTTGGGCTTTTGCTATGCGGTTCGTAACCTCACCTCCAATCCCACGGGTGCAAATACAGCTGTCCAGGTACTTGAATTCCTTAACAACTTCTAGCAGATCACCACAAAGCGTTAGCACAGGGTTGGGTCCCTGCCAATCTTGGAGAAGTACTTTGCATTGCGATGGAGCAAAGCATAGCCCAAAACGATTGACAGCCAGTGCTAATCGGTCCATTGCCGCTGGGCAGGTTTGGGAGCTGCCACAGATTAGAGCAGTATCGTCCGCATCCTCCAAGTCAAGAAGTCGCTCACCAGGAAGTAGCTCCACACCTTCTAGGTCGTGTCCAGCGAACCTTGTTTCCATGACTTCATCAATAGCGAAGTTAAAGAAGGAAGGTGACAGCGGGCAACTTTGTCTCACACCGCTGGTGATACTGAAGGGTGGCGACAGTTTGCCATAAACCCTCATTCTGCGCGTACAGTGCTTTGATAATGTTTACATATTTATCAGGCACAGCATTCTCCAGCAGACAGTCCCAAAGGGCACGTCGATCGACTGAGTCGAAGGCACCTTTTATGTCAAGAAACACGACAAAGGTGGGTCGCCACTAAACATGGCGGTGCTCTAACAATTGATGCAAGGTGAAGATGTGGTCGATGCAGCCCCGACCTCGACGAAACCCGGTTGCTCTTCATGAATCTGGCTTTCACAAGTGCCAGTCAGTCTGTGGAGAATGACAGACGCAAGCAACTTAAAGGCAATCGAAATCAGACTGATCCCTCTATGATTGCGGCATTCCGAACGGGTGCCTCCTTTGAAAATTGGGACAATGACGGAGCGGTTCCAGTCTGTCGGGACAGTCTCCTGTTCCCAAAGTTTCACTAGCAACTCGTGTAAATCATCTATTAGAGCAGGTCACCTGAATTTGAAGAGGGCTGAGAGAATTTTATCTGCCCAAGCGGCCTTATGCAATTTCAACAGCATGATCTCACGTTCGACTTCTGCGCAGGAGGGCGGATCCCGGGAGACGGCCCAGAGAGAAAGTCGCTCAATGCCCGAAAAAGTTTGCGATAACTCAGGTTGGCTAAATTGCCTTGCATAGTGTTCGGCCAAATGCTCCAAGCGTTTTGACAGGCTGTGGATCGGCTGCCCACTCTCGTCGCGTATGGTCTCCTGCTGTCTGTTTCCCATATCAGACGGAATAGATTATGATGACTACCAACGGTAGCGGCTATTTCCATCTCAGAGGCACGAAGAGACCACAAGGTTCCGCGGTCTTTCTTCAGGCTGGCACGTAGTTTTGCCCTGAGATTTTGGCGAGCCTTATTGTATTTGCTTCCAGCCGCAAAAAGTCGGCGAGCATCCATAAGTTCCAGAGACTGTGTAGAAGCCCAGTGTCTAGGTTTGGCAATTTGATTTGCCACATGAAGACATGCCTGTTAACAGTAACGTTTGATGAATATTCGACCAGTGATTTTCAACGGTGTTTAAGGGGTGCTTACTCAGCCCAGATGTCAGCGCACTTTGATACACATTCAGAACATCTGGCTTCGCCAGCTGGCTGGTGTCAATCCGTTCACATCGACGTTGCGGACGTCCACCGAAACGCACCCGGAGGTCGGCGCAGACAAGTGCGTGGTCAGAGTCCACGCTCGTGCTCCAAATCTATTGACAGTTTTGGACACAGCCTCTCCAGCGGTAAATGATCGATTTGCGTCCATGGTTGGCCCGAGGCTGGTGGCCACCAAGTCACGCTTCTGCGGGTGCTGTGTCGAAAGTTAGTGCTCACAAGCTAGAGGGAAGCATCTTCACACAGCTGTAGCAGTCGCTCGCCGTTATCATTACGAAATCCTACACCATGTTTGCCGCCCAGATGAAACTCATCAGAAGACAATTTTCCGACTTGGGCTTTTGGATCGCCAGCCAACACCACAGTATCCGTACTTCTTCTATAACGAAGGAGCTCGTGTAGTTGCTGATAGTAATCATCTTTTACCGAATCAGTGCTATAGTTTGTAGGGGCGTAGGCCGCAATGACAAACAGGCACCGTTGGTCCCGGCGCGACTTCATATCACGGAACGAACCAGCTAATCTAACGGCGCACGTCATACTGTTTACTGGGATCCAAACAACCAGGGCAGCATCAGCCCGCGGACTGAAAACAATGCCGACCCCAGCTTGAGCGGCATTTGAAGCTACATCATTGCCAGACAGGCGCAATGAGAATGTACCGCCAGTATCGCATGTGGGTGATCGCAGGGTAACCATGGAGTTCGAATCTTGCAGGCGGGTTTCTGATAAACAGCAAATATCGATCGATAGGGTCTCTATTGGGCGGGCAAGTGCTGCCTGTTGGCCAAGCTATAGTAAAGTGCGCAGGTTGAGGCATGTCACTCTTAGCGAGAAGCCAGGACTCCAAAGAGAAACGGATGAACTGACGTTGTCTGCTTGGTTGAACATGGAATTGTCGACTGGATTGGAGTGACGTTCTGCGACTGTGTGTGATTTGAAACTAGAAGACAAGCGACTATTGAAGCAAGGTTGGGGAGGGCCAAGAATTTGGGGGATTGAAAATGGGGGGATAAAACTAAAGTTGGAGTTTGACGATAAGGATGAAAAATCGCAAGAAGGGGTATAAGAAGACGGGAAGGCCTGAGCAGTAGCATCCATACTTCTGTCCACCATGCTCGATGCAGCAGATAGGGCGCCGTTGATTATCCTCTGCGACGGCCAGCAGCTTATACTCGACCCCCTTTGGTTGCGACTACTAAAACATAACCTGATGCTGATACACAATTTCATCAACCAAAGGACGCTCCAATCTGTGTGCACTTCCATTGTAACCTAACTTCACTCGGAATATACGCAACACGACCTGTGCATTAAATGTACCAAGAACCAGTACAGTTATCCGATCCAACTTCTTCCTCGTCAGATAGGCTGCCGTGTGGAATAGCCCACCAGTCAGATTCACGTATTACATCAATACATGAACATTTCACATTCAGCTTTGTAAATTGCTGGATCATAATACGATAATGACCATGTTTCAATCGGGTAAATCACTCCACAAGTTCTTCCATGATGTACCAAGGAATATATAATCAATGCTTAAAAGTGGTACACAAAACAGCAACAACAAATTTATGTGCTTCTTAATTATTTTGATATCATACGCCTCAGAATTCATATCTCACTCTTGCATGAGCATGCTGGTTATTGTACCTATGGTCTGTCCACAATCCAAGGACAGATTCTCGTACAATCTGGCAATATACGTATTATTTATTTATTCTTATTATTATTATTAAACGCCTGACCTACACGGCAGCGGGACGAATTCTTGGTTCACACCCATGTCACGAGCGATCCGCATTATGTTGTTGCTAATAATCAATTGACGAATAATCTGCCTGTCTCACATCTCCCACCAAACGTCGTTCGTGTAGACTCCATTACCCGGCTCTTTTACCTAACTTAAAAATATATGTATCATTACTTTCCTAACACTCTGTACATCGCCCAGGGTTTGCTATCTTTAAAGCTTATCAAAAAGTAGTGGGAGAATTTCTTGTGTCTTTGCCAAATCAGACAGTCGTCATATATCCAGCGAAACACTAGACAGCCGCTTCGTCTTATTAGGCCTCGTCAATAGTGTGCATCCGCGCTTTAGCCTTGGGTGATGGGTGACTGGTTCCCATCTACCTTATAACGCAGCTCATCGCTCACTGTCATACATGTTAGAACGCGCAGAGGATGGGTTTGGCCCCCAAGCAATTTGGGGACCTCAACCACACGTGCCACCATTTGCTTTAGCTCAGTCATAAAAGCTATCTGAGATGCAATCATCCCAAGTTGGCAGAGCAGTACGCTCGTTTGGAATACCATCGGGATGTTTTCTCGCTACGTGTTTGCCAAGTGTGGAATGTATTTGCAGAATCTATCTTCTGTGCTCACACGCTGATAGAGTTCATAGCTCGGATTGACCATGCACTCATTTCTCTGCACCATCTCACATGACTTATTGCCGATTGTCAAACATGCGTGTCTGCTAGAGCTTTCACAATCAATCAGTTCCCCGGATACATTCTCACCTCTTATGCGTGTGCACCAGCTGGTGACACGATTTGTACAAACCTCCCATTTGTTGTCATTCCTTATGGATTTGCCGTTTTTGATTCGTATCCCTCTGTGAGTCTGCACATGTGAACTTAATTTTGTTGGCACTCTGATCCTTACTATATTCACCCTACACATTCTTCGGAACCTGCAAGACTTGTGCTCTTTTAACTGTATTAAACCATTGTTCCGTTTTATCTTTCAAAGCTCCACCAATCCAGGTCATTTGTAAGCTCTAACGGTCACCTTCAATATGTAATAGACCCGCCGAATGTTTCCTCATTGGCCCAGCAGTACTTTTAGTGTCAAGCACTTATAAATCCATATTCACTCTAAAAGTCGTTCACAGGAATTGTCATTTCTCTCCAGCTACACCCTGGTCGTTCACCTATTCAATCTGCGCGCACAGAATCAAGAGGCGCGAATACAGGCGGAGCTAGCACAGATAAGTTTACTCAAAGCACGTCTGCCAACAGCTGTGACCTCCTTTGTTCCTGTGGTGGGGCAGAAAGAAAACGTCTTTCGATTCGGAGCCGGAACCATTGACCGGTTATCGCAATTGTTGCGGGTATGTTTTCTCACACATTTTTGAATTGTGTTCCAGCCTTGGCCTCCACCATGTTTAACAGTTTATACAGGGATCGATTAGAATGCATTCTAACATCTACGTCATACCGCGGTCTGTTGTAATGGCATTTCGCCCTCTTCTTTTAGGTGCTTTAGACAATCAACTCCGTTTTACCGATTCGTTCTGGCAGCTCACAAGGCAGATAGTCCAACCACTATTCTGGAAAAGCATCATACGGCCGTTTGATTTTATTGCGACTCATCATTGGTGCGCATTCTCGGTCCCCTTCAAGGAATCGAACTTATGACCGCCAGCGGCTCGCGCCACTAAATCATGGGGGCCGGTGACAGACCATCATAACTTGCACCATAAGTTACATTAAAAATCCTCTTACTCATTAGTAATCAATTTCATACCGATTTCCACCGGCTCTCTCTTATCAGCTCCCAGCGTGCCATATTCATGTGCCACGTCGCCAAACTGTTAGCTCTCTTGTTGGCACACTCAGCACATAATAATTATTGCGACCAATCCATGTGCTGCAATTTCTCACGCCTCTCCACAGCTGCAGTCACGCGTTCCATATATATATATATATATATATATATATATATATATATATATATATATATATATATATATATATATATATATATATATATATATATATATATATATATATATATATATATATATATATATATATATATATATATATATATCACAATCTGTGCCATCGGGACCATGGCGGAATAGAAAAACATAGAATAAAAGAAGACAAACAAATGTTTGTCCATTTTTCGCTCACCGTTTTGTTTTTTACTGTTTTTATTGCCGGAAAGAAGGGGAATCACTGCAACAAGCAGAGATACACGCCCGCCACTGAGTTTGGTTTCGAGCCAACACCTTTGTTTGCCGCGCCTGACGGACGCTTAAGCTCCATTTCATTACACGTCACTTGCACTGCACTGAACTCCGCTTTCAAGCAGCGCACTACACACACACACTGTACGAGACCTGAGTACCCACACCATTGCTATCGTACAGGTCTCCTTTGGGGTTTCCGTCGTGAACGTTCCGGACGTTTTGCTTTCCAACTCTACTCCTCACGCTCGATTCTCTGATGCTTCATGGGTTTGGGTGTCTCATTTATCCAACTCCGCGTACAACGAAGCATCGTTCCATAGTACCGGTTGACTGCTGACACCTTAATCCTCATGAAATCTGAAAAGTGTTTTGTTTGCACTGGTTGCTGCTCATTGATTAGAATAACTGGCCACTCCGTTCACAAAATGAGGATACAACATTCATCCTGGATTTGCGCGAACCGCGATTCATGCTGCTCGCAAGGATATTGCCACTACGCCAGCCACTATTACTACTACGCACTGAAGGTGACGAAACGTGTGCAACCCATTTGCTCTGCCTAGCGAAAAATTAACATTTCAACACCCAATCCGAGCCGATAATATTTCGACTTATGAGGTTGCATTTCTGAACATTTCTATGTTTGCTCTTGGTGGACACTTTGCACTCTAATTTCCCCCAGCGCATCGATGGATACATTACAACTGTTTTGTATCTTTGAACTGGGACTATGATAAATTACTGTTCTCAATCTTTTTCTCTAGTTTCCGCTCAATCCACTTAATGTCTCGTTTGGAAGGCCTGTTGGATGTGTGGTTTTTGACAAGCAATTTTACTCTGAACCTAGGTTCATCTCGAGGTGAACTGCACGTAGTTGAGTTTATGAGGTCATACGTATGTTTGACAATGTTCAACGCTGTTTTTAGTATAAGGTGTTAAAACATTTCTTTTTCTAAAAGTCGTCATCTTTCGTTTTCACTAGAAAAGAGAAGTTCATCTACTGGAACAAGCAACCGTCATCGAACGTCATCGTCAGACTTCCAGAGATCAACGCCAACAGAATCATCCCCACCAATATCCCGTTGTGGCTGTTGTCGGCTACACAAATGCAGGTGAAATGATATTTGTAACCACATTTAAAACCACACGTTTGTTATCAGGATATTGTACAGTAGTAATAAATCGTCGGCTGATGTACAAAAGAGTACGCGCCTGCCTGGTCATCCGGAAGTCGCCGTTTCAAATGCGCTTAATTGCGGCGAGCAATCTCACGTTGTATGCAGCCCTCCTGCGACTTGATCGTCGCATGGCAACGAAGTGATGTGCTCTCATACTGCTGATCACTTTTTTCATTACAGTTTCATCAATGAGTCTACTACTCGAGGATACACTAGGCTGTGTCTGTGTAGTTGCGCTTTTTTATTAGTAATACATTTGTGAACATGTTTTATTTATACATTTTCCTGGCACATCGTGATCTTCACTAAACTGCGGTTTACAGAAAGATTGCGAGGTAGAAGCTCGATGTTAAGACTAAGAGTGCCTTCTATATCTTATGCATGTCCAGCATGACTGTGTGACATGTTAACATGGATACGCTGTCCATTGGTTTCTGCTCGCATTTCACTATTTTACAGGCGCTTTGCTGGCACTGAATTCAACATGACATTAGAGGCTCCCTTTTTGCAATTGATTCGAGAATCGTTATTTTGTAGGTCTTCCGGAAAGTACTAACTCCCTTTAAAAGCTTCATCAACAGCCAAGGGCGTTTTTCCTGTTAAACTTCCTCCTTCCCACCCTCGCTTTCCTTTTATTGGCCTTTCTTGGAGTAATTCACGCGGCTATTTTCCCACTAGTAACGTTACAATTATTATTATTTATTCACAAGTCTGTAAACAGCAAATGTGCCGTCCAAACCATTGTGGTAGAGAACGGAGAAGATAATGTTCCACGAGGAGAGAGAGTAATACGTTAGGAAAATGTTTTTTGCAGTTTAACACACGCCGTCTTGCGATTTTTTTTGTCTTCATGTCTTGTACGAAATTAAAAATTACATGACGGAGAGATGATAGAACAGCATTGACGCCAATGACTCCCATTGCGGGCCATATCCTTCAAGACTTCCAACCATCTGGAATCCGCTTCACGCGGTCCGTAGCCAGGGAGACGCACAGATCCAACTGACGCTAGACACGAAGTTAGAATCTTCATGCTCCTTTTCCAGCTCATCGGTTGTCCACCGTGGCTCTTTTTCCTATTCGCGTCCAGGAAGTGCAAATAATGCGCGACGCGGAAGGCGGTGGGCCAGCATGCGCAGTAAGTGACCCGCAAGTGGTGATGGGTGATTGTGCTCTGGAGACAAGGACTGTCCGCTCCCATGACTCTGCTTCTGACTTCCGCGTTGCTCACATGGTGCTGCCGCCAGACGCGAGCAATCGAGCGCAAGAAGTGGTTGTCGAAAATAGATGATCGTCTAAAATCTTCCGATTGAACAGGCCAGAACACGCAGCCGTACAGTAGGACAGCACGAATTGTGGCATCGTACACTTACCCTTTGAGCATGAGACTGATCTCGCGACGACGCCACAAGTGTCTCAGGTTAGTAAATGCAAGGTGACCTTTGGCAGTTCGTTGTGAAATTTCATCGCTAAAATCGCCACCAGCCGTGATGCAACTCCCGAGGTGAGTAAAGCTATTAACGAACTCCAGGCTGACACCCGAAATGGTGAGCATAGGCACAGGCGCTTGCCAATCCTGAAGCAAAGCTCTACACTTGGGTGGAGCGAAATACAGACCATACTTTTAGATGCCTCTACCGCTAAGCGGTTCAGAATGTTTTGAACCGCCTGCGAGTCGTCCCTCAGCAAAGCGATGTCATCAGCGTAGTCTGGGTCCACGACTCTGCCGCAGCTCTGGGCTCTTACCATTGCGCGTTGTAGGACATCTTCGATGGCAAAGTTGAACAGGAACAGCGAGATAGGACAACCTTAGCGCACTCCACTGGTAACAGGAAACGAAGAAGATAGCGTGCCATAATCTCTAACTTTGCCAGAGGTGTGACTACAGTTCTTTCAAGAGTATGACAAACTTGTCGGGAACGCCGTATCGTAGCAGACAGTTCCACAGTGACGACCTATCTACTGAGCCAAAATCGGCTCGGATATTCATAAACACCACCACTGTTTGTCTTCGGTGGACATGGCGATGTTCGAAAATTTGACGCAACGTGAAAATTTAGTCAATGCAACCACGGCCAGAACGAAAGTCAGCCTGTTCCTCACAACACAAACTCTCGCGGGTAACTGAGAGCCTACGTAGCAGAATGAACACAAAAGGCTTAGACGCGACAGAGATAAGTTAGATTCCTCGGTAGTTTGTGCATTCATTACGAGATCCCTTCTTGTGAATCGGAACCACAACAAATTCTCCCCATGAGTTAGGAACCTTCTCATCACTCTGCACTTTTGTGAACAGTGATAGGATTTCGGTGACAAATATATTCCCCCATCTTTGAATAAGGCTGGATAAAGACTGTCAAAGCCCGGATCTTTTTGGCGTTTCAGCTTCTAGATTCCCCCTCCCCTTATTTCTGCTTCATTGGGAAGCTCTATGCAAGCGGATCAAGGATCACATGATGACAGTGGATACGCAACCGGAGGTTATGTTGGACAATTAAACTGGAGAACAAAGTGCTCTGTCCAGCCATCCAGACGTCTACGTAGGTTGGTGGTCTTTGTACCGCCTGACTCACAGATGGTCTGATTGATAGTCTGAACTTTGCGTCCGGTGGATCTGATGAGATAGAACAGCCTGCGGATGTTACCAGCAGAGGCAGCAACTTCCATTTCCTTGGCATGTTTAGACCACCAAGATTCGCGGTCACGGCGAAGACTCGCTTTCAGTTGTCTGAAATAGAACGGTGAAGCTCAGCGTGCTCTACATTGACGGGTATAGGTCTCCGATAGTCGAGAAGTTCCACGGAGGTGGCCAAGATCCAGCTTTTACTTGTTTGACGAACAAGACCGCAACTGGATAAACCCGCTGAAAACAATATGTTGCACTCGCGACCACTGCTGATCAATGTCCCGAGGAGGCAGTGAAGTGAGGTTCTCACGAGGCTGCTTTTGGTATTCCAATTGCACGGCAAGGTCTTCCAGTTTATCAGTTAGGTCGACTTTGTCTAGTCCCAGGCGAGCCACTGAAACGTATGTAAACCGACGCACATACTAGCGCATGATCAGTTTCCACGCATGTTGACCAATAGTATCTGCAGTCCCGAATACAGCCACGCTAGCGATGACTTATGGCGATGTGGTCAATCTTTGACCAACGTTGAGGCGATGATGGTGCGTGCCAAGTGGCGTAGTGACGCCTAGGATGGCGAAAGTTCGTGCTGGAGAGGTAAAGTTGGTGGACGGCACACAAATTGAGTAGTCTTTCCCCATTGTCTGAGCGAAAGTCGTCGTATCCATGCGTGCCTCATGATGGCGTTCGCTTGGTAACAAACGACCAACACACGGGTTGAAATCCCCCGTCATAATAATGATGTCCGTTTGTTCGTGGGGGGGGGGGTTGGTGACATGGTTATATTCGTGGCAAGTTTTTAATAGCTTGTTGTTGCATTCTCACACGACCTGATTGTGGTTAGTTTCCTGTTTTGTTGGACAGTATATCAGATTAGAATGATACTGCACCTCTAGCTCAGGCAATTCAGAATGAGCAATTTTGTGTGTCAGGTTGCATTGGAGTTTGAGGTTCACTTCATTGGTCACAACCAAAGAGGTCCTAGCTGAAATTAGTGGCAGCGCTCCTGATAATTTTCTATCGCCTTCCTACCAAACAGATTTTTGCCAGCGACTTTTGTACATTTTCTGAAACTTTGAAATCGCTCTTTCTTCTGCCCTTTTGTTTGAGGATGCGATTTGTGATGATTGTTAAAAACTTAACTCTGCTAGGAATTGTGTGAATGTTGTTTGATCTACCATTCACCGACCTTCTGACCTGCGCTATTCCATACTGAGTTTGCTCACATAGGTTAACGGTGGACGAGTACTTGTTCTCTAGATCACGAATAGATGGTTATACTCCGACGTGGTCACTTTTTTGCGAATAATTGTCTGTTTACTGTGTCCGCTTGCACACAGGTTGTCCAATCAATTTGTTGAAGTTATACGAGAGTGACCGTTTGTTTAAATTCACTCAACCGTGGTGTCCGTTATCTGCGAAATTTTTCACGTTAAGTAGTGCAGCGGTGATCTACTCAATGTTCGTGGTGGTAATAACTGCCTTCGTCCTATATTTGTCGTCAAGAAATCTAGTATCTCTACCCCTTGCCAATCGGTTTCCATTTCGTCGGTCTTGTGGAATTGTAGCATTTTCACCCGGATTGCCGCGAATCAATACCTTTCTTTTGGAGGGACTATCTTTTCTGGCTGTCATTGTCAAACAGCATTCTCCCCCCCCCCCTCTTTTCACTTCTTGGCTTCTGTAGACGCTGTCATACTTCGGATCTTTCTCTGCTTGTTGATCCCCGACTCAAGCCCAATGCTCCACTGCTTGTTTATTTCAATGTCTTATTCCAGAATGCAGCCCCGTCTAATCTGTTGCTTTTAGTTCCATTAATTTGGTTCCGTTCTGTTTCGACTCATCTAAACCGTAGAACTGAATGCGAGAGCTTTGACGAAAGCTGCATGACCACTGGTCCATACCCCGACTTGCAGATGTGGGCATCTGATGGACCACTTCTTAGCCGAATTACTGCGCCATCATCCTACTCCGAATAGTTATTCGGAGAGAGATGTCAATACTTCCGGTGTGGATTAAACATGTCGTGAATGGGTGATATAGTGGGGAAACGGGATATTTGGCCCTGATGTTTCCCTTCAACACCATTTGCACATGGCGACGAGTTGCTTGTTGTTCCTCACCAAGGTACCTTCAGACTGAAGCTTTGTCACCCGCCCGTGGGTGAACTGAATTACTAAACTCAGGCCTGTTTCTGCGGAGGATACGTTGACTTTTACCCTTCCCACTGACAGTTTCTCGCGTATCTTGATGACCCACAATGGTCTTATTCCTTAACGTTGAGACTACCGTGGACTTATGTGGCCTCGTCCATGCGTGGTCTTTCTCATGTCCATAAAGTTTGGATCGAATTTTCTCTCTGTGCTCAAGCTTATCCCCGTCTACAGTGCTATGCGAGCCCGAGGAATTACATCACACCATCACATGACCTAAATTACGCTTCCTCTATCTCCTCTCTTTTTTACTTTTGCAGTGGAGATGGTCATCATTTAGTTTTTTCTACTCTTTCAGAGATTCCTCTTTGTTTCTGATTGGTGAACTACAACTATGCTGTGATTTTTATGTCGATTCCAGGAACTATTGCTTAAAGCTGGTTTTGGCGTCGATCAGCTGCTACTGGACTTCAGCAGTTTATGTTTGAAGTAGACCTTCGGGTTCTGTGTCCGTCGGTGGCCAAAAGGATAAGGCGCATGCTCTGTACTCCAGTGATCACCGGTTCCAATCTGCGTAGGCTCGTGCAACCTCACAGCCCACCCAGCTCACGCGCGACCGATGGTTGTTGCGTAGCATCGTTGTGGCTGTTGCCTTCCTTCTTTTCCATCATAGTTTCTCCAAACCTGAATAGTTTACGCTAGCTGCGCCTGTCACTTCACGGCAGTAGTGTATTCATGGGAATCATGGAATTTTTAGACCGCGCTTGCTGTGGCTCCTAGTCCTCTATTTTGACCTATATTTTAGCTATCGTTGCCGTGCAATAGCTGCCTAAAAGTCATCTATTATGACATTCTAGTTTATATTTGCCTATCTTATCAAGATTTTGTTGTCTGTGACTTCATTACCTATGGACGTAAAAGTAGTGTCCTAAATATGCTCCGATCACTGGAACTTTTACCTATGCATGAATACGATTTTGCATTTTTCTTCACTGATATCCACTTACCTTAATCGTCTTATACCTTGCTCTATTGTCTTTAAACTATTTTTCTAAACTCCATCTCTTCTTCAGGAAAGACAAGTCTAATCCGTTGTTTGAGTGGCAATCGGAGCGTTGTCTCTTCTCCTCAGGTTTTCGCCACACTCGATTTGACGCTTCATCGTGCCCGGCTTCCCATTACCGCTCGCTGCACCATGGAAAATAGGGAATCTCCAACTTTGCAACCGCACTGTGGCAAAGTAGCAATTCCAGGCGTCAATCTGTTATTACTAGATACCATCGGGTTCATGGCTGACCTGCCCACCAACCTTATAGCCGCTTTTCGGGCTACTCTTATGCAAAGTTTGCATGCAGTGAGTTTTCTCCTGTTTCCATCATTGAACCCAATGTCTTCATTCTCACATATTCCAGTTGTTGAACTATCTCGGAGCACTACTTCATTCATGTCGTGAATGCCTATGGTCGGAGCCGTAGGCTATCGGTCGCAAACCCAGGTTTCGTATTGGGAAATGCTTTCCTTGTGGAGGTAACTGCGAACTACTCCCGTTTGCTTTGCAAACGAAATGAATAAGCAGTCGTGGACAACCAGCGACAGCGTCTCAGCGTAGGGAGTTATGAGCTGATCACCTGGTTCTCCATCAAATACCACAAGAGCTCGTACAGCACTGTTTCAAAACCACAGTGGCCGGCTATAGGGTTACTGGCCATTCACCTCTGGTCTTCGACAGTCTTCCTGTTCACGGTTGATTGGATGTTTCAGTGATATGCGTTGATCGCTACGCTGGCTTGTGGGTCAAGTCTCTGAAATCAAAGGCTCCGGATGGGGTTCCTTAACTCAGCTCTCTTTCCCGACCTTAGCGGCCGGAAAGCTTTCTACCCACCAAACATTAAACTTCGTATTCCCTCCCTTGAATGCCTGTTCTCCCGTTTTTTGTTACTCATGTGTTGCGACACTGCCAATCGTTTATTGGTTAAATGTTGATTATATATATATATATATATATATATATATATATATATATATATATATATATATATATATATATATATATAGGCCTATACTCTACCGGGTGCCTAGGGCCTATCCGAAACTTGCGCAAAACGAGAAATCTAAATATGAGTTTACCGAAAAAGAATTCTTCACCAACATTTCGATTTCTAGTTTTGCTGATGAAGCAGATGCTGAAGCTCAGCATGCCCTTTGATTCACTCAGGTTTGTACAATACTTGAACGGTACGGTAGTTAATTAAACCATGCAATCCTCCAGGAAGTTAGCTAGCAGGTTTCGGGATTGCATTTGCACTTCGTTGAATCAAGTACCAAGGTGCATCTCCACGCCACCATCAAAGTGCGTTCAACGTTTTGTGACTGCGTTACAGCCATCGTTTTTATTTTACAGCTTTTTGATGTTTTCGTTCATCTTACACTTCCACCAGCCAATCAACCGTTCAAGCCACACGATCTCACAATTAGTGTACTTCACCTACAATGCACTTTAGCCAGGCATCTCTGTAAATGGTATGTATATGCATGAACTGCTCTTTACTTCGATTCGAAGGTGCGTCCTACGTATAAGGAGGCTGTTCGCTAACATTTTGCTAGTAAGTATTCACGATTTCGCCTGTCGCTCAGCACCATGCGAAAGCACGCCTTCATAGATCTAAACCCTGCTACAAAACGGAGACGCTGCTGGTGATCGAATCATCAATTGCAGTGGTCGATCGTCCCATCTTTCTAGATAGCTCATCATTGAGGATTACTTACGCCTCAGTAAGACCCATGTCCTTGTCATTCCACATTAGGTGAAGCTGGAAAACACCTCACTGTCTATGTGGCTTCTCACGGCCTCAATATTTTGCAGGTGAATTGCGTTGTATAGAGTTCACTGCTACTCCATAGATCAGTGATGTGGCTACTGCGCACTGAGGACATTGAGACCTCTGATAGTGTTTGACCAGCGACGCCTACTAACTATTACTCATATCCGTTTGGGACGCCGAATGAGCGCTGCTGAAGTTCACCAGCAACGGACTCTCCTTTGTTCCATTCAGTGTCTGTTAAACTGTAACCGTTTACATTGACTCGCTTGTGTCCAGTGCATACCTACTCATTGGTCGCATATGTCACAACGGAGCCCACATACACACACCGCACATTTGGACCAGTCATCAGAACGATAAAGGCCACGGCCATCACAAGATGAGGGATTGCTCAAGAATCCCCCAGTCGCGTCAGCCTGATCGCGATCGCTTCGGCCACGTTCAGTGCATGTTTTCCTTACGCTTCTAGCTCTCGATCTCGGACTGAAGGCATCCTCGTTCAGGATCTGTTGTTTACTCTGTATCAGATGTTCCAAGATGGAACCAATAATGCTTCTAACCGTGTTCTTCCGCAATGACACTGGGAATTGCTGAGCTATCCTTGGTACAAATGTACAATCGTGTGTCCGACGTACAGGTGTAAGTTAACTGATGTGAAACTTGCGATTCTGACCGGACGGAAAGTTTACCTTTAACATGTTGTGTACTGAACGGAGCAGTTTCCACAAGAACATGTTGATGTGGCGCTAGGGGAGATTTTAGTCACTGTTGTAAATAGTCCCATGTTCAGCGGATTGCAAACGATATCTTCTTTACAATGAACTAGCAGAAACATACTTTTTAGGACTGTCATGGTGGGTTTCAGGTGTTCACAGGTCACTTTTCGTTTTTACTGACTTGTGGAGCAGCGTAACTATGCGTTCGCAGTATTTTATGCATGCGACTATTGCCTTTCGGTATGATTGGGCTGAAAAGGTTGGTGGTTTCAGTGTGTAACTCGAGCAGTGAACTTGGTTCCATTCGCCCTGTAAAGATACGATGCTTCGAAGCTAAGGGAATTAATTAACTCACGTGGCTTTCCGGAGGTCGCATTAATCAGCTCAAGAGTCAAATGGGTGCTAATGGTTAAATCCGCTGTAATTCTTTCATGACGCAGTTCAGAAGAGCAGGACGATCCAAGATGAAATCAAAAGTATGAAACCTTGAGGGAACTGAAACACACGAACCTGATGAGCGACTCGTTATCTGAATGGCTTACTTCTGTGGGTTGACTTTATGGATTGCCTAAATTGCACATGTCACAAGTTCCGTTTCGTCCGCTAACCGACATGCCTGCCTCTGTCATCCGCTTAGCCACGAAGCGAAAATGATGCTTCATACATTGTTTGTCACTGTGGATGGATCATGTTTAGTTTGCGAATTCGTACGCGTCTTTTCTATCGGGTGCTTTTTACTAAATATATACTCAAAAGAAATCTCAGTTTTTCGAATGTATTCGAAGGCGCCCTACAATCCAAATGATTTGATGAAGAAACTAGGAAGCAAATTAGATATACAATTGTTCCCGCTAAAACCCGCAACAAGCAATACAGCACCCCAAGCCGACAATGGAAGGCAGTAATAAAAATGTTGAAGTCTGACAAATCTTACAAAGGACGGATGACCGTCATAACGGATAGAAGGAACTACACAGATAAAGCAATACTCCTCTTGGACGGTACAACAACTTACGAGTGCATGGACACCGATCCAGCCTCACGGATGACAAACAACATAAACAGGATCTTGAAACAACTTCAGGAATTGAACCAAATCACGAAAGAGGAGTGCGACGGAATGAAAGCCCCTGACTCGTACATCGTACAGAAATAGTGCACCATTATGGCCGATCTTGTCATTTCCGAAAACATTTACATACAATCTGACAAAAGAATTGTGAAGTCACCTCGAGCATCTGATCTGTGGGTTGCAACACTCTACGATCAATGCCCAGCAATTTATACAATGGCTCAATGATATCACGACGTGACTGCTCTCCTTGCGTCTGTCAATTTACAGCTGGCAACAGCAGTCATCACAGCACGCCTGAACACCCATGAACAACCAATGGGGAGCATGACGACCGAAAATGGGTGCAAACTACTCCACTGGTGTCTGTCAACCTACTTCTCATTCAGTACAAAGATATACGAGCTCACATCTGGTGGGAACACCGCGTGAGTAACGAACTTGTTGGATGCCTTGTCTACGGCACAGGAAAAGGAAATGCACCGCTCAGCACCGTCATTTCACGCACCAAGCTCCATTACCTCGGCCACTTGTTACCCATGCCACCGCACCGACTCCCGCGACCTGCGCTGCTTGCACGCCGTGAGTGTGGATGGAAGAAGAGGAGAGGTGGCCAAGCGATGACTTGATCAAGAGGAATGAAGCCCTCACTTCGTAGCTGACCTCGGTCGGAGCGTCTCGACTCCCTGATTGGGGTCCGAAAGACAATGAACACGTTTGGTTGAATACACTTGCTGACATGGCTAGGAGCCGACCTCAGTGGTGTTCGTGATGTGACTTTCTTTTTCCCACCCTATCCCTTTTATCCTTCCTCTGCTACCACGATCTCATTTCTTAGGATAACATAATTTTGCATAATAATTTTTTTCGCTGCAAAGTAGCCGGCTGGTAGCTTGCCGGGACGATGCCCATCCGTTACCGGTAGCTCAGCTGACGTGCATCTGTTTCATGTTTTTTTCTTTTCTTTCGCATTGCGGCACAGTAGCTAAGATGTCCTCCGCCTCTAGCTAACGTATATAATGATGATAACTAGGTTTGACGCTACAAGTTTTATTCTGTTGATTTTCTTGTCAATATGGATACTTGTTGCTCTCCAATACACCTTCAACCTTACCATCACTTCGCACGCCACTTTTTTATTGTAGCTGTGCTGGTTAGGCTTTGGGAAGCCCATCTCATGCTAACGCTCAGAATTTATATGGGCACAACATCGAAACCCTCCCTTGTGTTCGCTTTTCGTTTCAGGACCTCGTCATTCACGTGGTCGATGTAAGCGACCCAGCCTGGGAGAAGCGGATGTCTCACGTAGAACAGGTGTTATCCCGTGCTGGCGTGCCAACTGGACAGAACGCCTCCACCTTCTATCGTCCAGCCCAACACACGACGTCTCTCCAAATCAGTCCTCCAGCGGTTCTTCGCGTTGGTAACAAAGTTGATAGTGTGTGCGTATTCATGAATGTGGCTAAAGATCTTCTTTGATGCGTTGTAGGATGCCGTTTATTTGGCAACGGGTCCCCAATCGCTTATTTCCACTAGGCTTAGTTCCCTTACATCCTCTTCACATCAGCTGTCACGAGACTACGCTATTTGTTTTCATGCAAAACATCAACTGGCTTTTCATCCTGAGCTGGTTTAGCAGTTGCTGCAATTTACACAGTGAACCGACAAGTGCTGCTATAGAACGAATCAAAATGAGGCAGGTACCGAGTAAAATATTCTTTCCGGTACAACTAGTAATTGAGTGTTGCCTGCCCGAAAACACTGCAATACTATGGGAATCGCGGTCAACATTATTGCGCATCGCAATCCATCCACACAACGTGTACTTCAAAATAACCCTCAACATCCTTCTTTTCGGTAATTCTCATTAGACTCAACCTTTTACATGGCGACGATTACACGCTAGATATGCCAAATCGGCTAAATTAGAAAGTTCAGTTCCAACGGAAACGAGTCATTAAATCACCCGGTCATTGCAGATAACGGATTAACTACAAGAGCAAGTCGCTTCTTCACAGCCGAAGATTAACTGGGGATGCAAATCAAGCGATCAGGAAACAGCAGCAGTCATAGGCCACGGTAGAAGTAAGGGGCGTACAAATTGCTTTTGTACCCACAACTCCGGTTCGGGGCGGCCGATGTAGATAGCTTCAGCAATATATGGTGGTGTTTCCGGAATCCGCACGAGAATCGCTCAGGAATAGAGTAGATGACCTTGAAGTCGTTTTCCGAGCCTGCGTGACATAATGGAGCTACTAGAAGACCACTCTAAACCAATTATAGATGTGCTCGCGAATCTTATAAGTTCCTCGTAGTACGACCCACGTATTGTGCACCACAGGGCCGCGAGTACGGATAAACAAGCATTGATTGAGTTAACAAAAGCAGTCTATCTTCAAAAGGTTCTGCTTGTTGTGATATACTATGCGTAGGCGAGTCGCGTCTTTCACTTCCTTTTCTTGATTATTCTGAAAGGACTACTATTATCATCAATGACGATAACAGTACCTCGAGTGTTTTCTGCCCAGGTTTCACTACCGTTCAATTGTGCATTATGATAAACGACTCCCTGACTGTGGATGAGATGAAACCCAACACGTTAAGTAACTTTTCAAGATTAAGGCACTAAGCTTTGCGAACACTATGCCATCACAAGAAGTTGACTACTATGCGAATATCAGCCGTCTCTACCTGAATCGTAAATCGTCGAAGAATGACTGTAATATTGGACTCAGCAACCTCCCAGGTCCTATTCTTTGCAGTGTTGCTGCTCTCTATGATCTTAGTCACGCATTATCAGACCACTCTCGAATGGGACACAAGCTCCACGACTTATGTAGGGTTATTGTGCATTGTGGAGTATAGATTTCTTGCGTTACCATTAATCGTTGTTTATGTTTTGCACATAGGAACTGTTATTCATCATTACCAGCGCGATCACTGGAATGTTTTGTTCATCTTGACATCTGTGTTCATCATGGGTTTGGCCAAGAAGAGTTGTTGATTCTTTGTGCCTGTAAGCCGATCAACCGCGGGTGTTGCCACATTGTCATCCGAGAGCTGGAGGTGACTACGTTGTCAATGCCCATCGAGCTTATATTGCTGTTTGTTGGGGTTATGGTTGTCCTGCTTCGCATCCCAGTCAAAGGATCGAGTAACTACGATTGATTGAAGCTGGACACTGTTCACGCAAAAGTGCAGGGTTCATCAACCGAGTGTGACCGAACTCTGCTCTGAGTTGGTATCACCGGTTTTGTTCTTAGATTGTAATAGACTTCTTACTCCTTCGTCTTTCACGTGTGAACTATTACCCTGTTTGAGGAAATGTATTCTCATATGGGATATGGGCAACAATTCTGAATGACCTAAGCGGTCCGCGGAGCGGAGCACGACTTATATGATTAGACGGTTAGAGAGAGGCGAGCGCTTTCGATACCAAGTTTTGACAATATTCCTATACTACATTGCTTGTTCTGCCACACCAAGAATGGACCTGAGGATGCGTAATTGCTGCACACCTTGAAGTTGTTGATTTCGGTACACAACTACTTTGACAAATTCCATATGGCCATTCGTATCGGGTCATATGGGGAGGGTTTCCATCTAATTAGCTAGCACTGACCGGATATGTCATTCTCGTTGAAACTACATCAGTCGGAATGTCTCATGTTGATATGCCATCTTACGATGCCTCCAGCGATCCTACATACGCATTCCTTATTTATTCCGAATCCAGTGAAATTATACAGAATTCTATTTGCAACGGCTTACACTGGAGCTCAGACCCACGTTTACAACCTCCAGAATGAAGCTACTCGCTTTACGGATGTCTTCGAATTCTGGTGACTCATTTTCAGTCCTTTTACCTATCGATTTTCCCAGCTAAATGCATTCACTTCCCAACTAATCGCCACCCCCATACCGGCGATGGGACATAATATGCACTAACCATGGCTTTTTATGCCAAATGCTCTTTGTCACAAGGGTTTCTGCAGTCGCACACCCTAATTACCATGTAGCTGATCATCCGTACTCGGTCCGCACAAACGTTGACCGGAAACATATGGGCACCAGTTTTAGCGTAATTCTAGACTCACCAATCAGCCTTTTGGCATGAGTCTGAACCACAGCATAGTGCAGTTGTTTGATTGTTTCTGTGATCCACCAAGCGACACGGAGCTGCATTTGTCGAGTGATCTCGACGAAAACGGCACGCACCCGACTGACCAAGTCTCTCATTCACTTTCTTCATGCCACTTATGCCACCTTATGGACTGGCGACCTCGCGGTTTCACTCAACTTGGTGCAGCCACGCCGTATAATGCGCGCCGAGGGAGACGGTCAACGGGCATACGGTTGACAAGGCCTAGCCAACGTAAGCAATTAATATTCAGTAAACACTCCAGTGACACACCAGAAGGTTTCTTGCCAGCAACCAACTGGTGGACCTTATCGTTACTCACCCGGTGTTCCCACCAGACATAAGCAATACTTCGCAAGCACCGGTGATCAAACATGGCAAGCGTTTAGAGTCTTCATTGCGAACTGGCCAGGTTTCTGATCCACACAGTAAGACCGGCCTTACTGCAACGTTATACACCCTACCTTTCACTGACAAGCTGATATCCCACCGTCTTTATAGATGGTTGGGCCTCTGAAAAGTCACACGGGCCTTGCTGATACGCGAAGTAACTTCCTCATTGATGTAATCACAAGAGGTGACATAGCTACCAAGTTAAGTGAACCGATCCACCACTTCCAGTTGCTGTTCGGAAATAGCTTAAAATAGAGGTGTATCGGCCCAGCCCTGAAGCACTACTTTGCACTTTGAAGGTGCAACGCTCATGCCGAAGCGTGCGACGCTACGCGTCAGTCTATCCAGCAGTGCTTGCATAGACACTACCTCGGACCCAAGGAGAGCTATGTCGTCCACATACTCCAGGTTTGTCAGTCGATCAACTGGTAGAACTTCCACTCCGTTAAAGTCTGAAAGAGAACAGTCACTCATGATCATTTCCATAACAAGATTGAAGAGAAAAAAGGATATAAGACAACCCTAGCGAACCCCATTTGTCGTGGGGATCTCAGGAGACAATTGCCCATAGACCCTTACACTGCCTCGGGCTTCACGGTAGGGAGACTTGAGAATGGAAAGCAGTTTAGCCGGCACGCCCTTCGTGGATAAGTAGTGCCACAAGGCAGCGCGGTCAACAGAGTCGAAGGCAGCTTGCAAATCAATGAAAATGATCATTGTCAGTCGGCTGTATGTCTCTGCTCTAAAACCTGGCGAAGAGTAAATACGTGGTCGATACAACTTCGACCAGTGCAGAAGCCAGCCTGACTTTCCATGAATCGATACTCACGGGGACCAGCAAGTTGCCGGAGTATGATACCCGTGCGGAGTTTGGATGCAGTGGAAACAAGGCTGATGCCTCGATTATTTTCGCACGCAGTACGCCAATCCTTCTTGAAGATGGGCACGACAGTTGACCGTCGTCAGTCTGAAGAAATCTCTTCATTGTTCCAAATGATGTTAAATAAAGTAACGATTCCATACAACAAAGGGTCATCACCATCTTTCAGCAAAGATGGAAGAAGATCGTCGGGTACATGGGCCTTGCTTCGCTTCAACACGGAAAGCTCATGTCAAATCTCTTCCAAACTGGGAGGTGTCACACCTGCTTCCCACGACGGCTCAGGCGATTCGGTAAGCGGCAATGTCGCAGCAGGCCTGCTGAACTAATCTTCCAAATGTTCCGCCCAACTGGCTAATCGACGACGCTGAGAATAGATCCGCTGCCCGTTTCTCTCAGCTGTTGTCTCGCTTACGCGTGGCTTTCTCGGACCCGTGTTCCGGATGAGTTGGAACTGCATTTGACTGTTCCCAATAGCACTGGCTTTCTCCATCTCACGGGACCTTGCGATCCACCAACGTTCCCTGTCGATTCGAAGACTCCTTGCAGTGCGTCGTCTCAGATAGTTATGGACACGCTGAAGCTCAGTGCCCATCGTAACTTGTTTCTGTGCTTCAATCATGCTGATTGACGCCTCAGAAATCCATTCGTAGTTGGGTGCACAGCATGCGTCAGATGCATCCTTTATGGTACATTTAAAACCATCCCAGTCAATTTTCAGCTCATTAACTTCATTCATCACTGACAATTGATGGACCAGTTCATCGTGATATTGTTGAACTGCAGATTTTGAGTTCAAGTTACAGGTAAGGTTAGCAAATAGGCGCTTTTTAAAACTGAAAGAGAGCGCCAAGCGTGCGCACACAAGAGCATGATCGGAATCCAGGCGCGCGTTCCAAATTGTCCGACAATCTTGGACTGATGTGCGCCATCTGTAGCTGACGGCAATATGGGTGCAGGTCATTGAGGAATTCGATGGGCGCCGGATAACGCAGTGTAAACGTTCGTGCTAGAAAAAGGTGCTGTTGAAGTAAATGTTGTGGTCGGCGCACAGTTGCAGGAATCGATCACGATTGTCTGTTCGACGAGCATCGACTCTGAAGTGCCCTCCCAGGTGCTATTCAGAGTTTGAAGGACGATTCACTTGGACATTCAAGTCACTAGCAACAATCACGATGTCGGTATTCTTCGTCATGCGAAGAAAAGATTAGAGCTCTCGATGGAAATCGTCTGTTACACCCTCGAAACCATTCAGTTTGGGCATAAATTGCGGCGGTGAAAAAGTGCGTTGTCTTCAGACTCTGCTTATTAGCACCAATAGTAGTTCGAAATCGAACCGCGCACATTCGGCTGTTCACCGGTATCCGGTTGAACCGATTGGCTTCAATATATTTGCTGAGGGCAATGCCAACACCGTATATGCCTTGGGCCATTGACACGGTATCGCCAGAGACTCGAAGAGTGTAGTCATGGTCGTCAGATTCAGAACCAGGGAGTCGAAGATTCGTCCCAATGCTGTTATCTTGTATGCATGTTTCGGGACACAGTACACATCAATACCAAGAGACTGAAGCGTTAGAATCAGTGTTGCCTGCCGATAAATCTGACCTCATCATCATCATTACACGTTAGCTGGAGGTGGAAAACACCTCAGCTATTGTGCCGCAATACAAAAACAAGAAAAGGAAAACAGTGGCACGCCCGCTGAGTCCCCAGTAACGGATGGACATCGTTCCGGAGAGCTAACAGCTGGCTGCCGTAAAAGAGAGTCATATTATGCCTAAATCTGACCTAAAGTGCGGACGTTAAAGGAACCAATGTGAATTGAAACTCTAAGAGCTGCATGTATCCATGGCAGCAGCTGCGAGGTCAATAGCAGTCTCTTGCTCAATAGACGGAGAGAGGGGAGGGGAGAGAAAAATAAGTAGGGGGAGTATTGTCGACTTGGTCGAGAGGGTAGATGATACTCTCCGGCTGCTCATTCCGAGAGAGTGGTTTTCTTCAAGGTGCCCCCTGCCTCTAATCTTTGACTCAACAGTCTTAGTCACAAGGCAGTGGAGTACATGGAGGTTCGCTTGAGGAACTCCACCCGGAGCATTTGGCTCAATAGCCTGACCCGCAAGGCAGTGGGGAGCAAGTCCAACTCAGGACAGTAATTGCAGAGACCCAGTGGTATTTGCTTGATGCCTGACACACAGCTTCTAAAGATTTTGAACAATTCACATTACCTTACGCACCTGCGACCACGGTCAGCCGCAGATGGGACTTGGTGGGTTTGCACTTATTTGACCAGGGGTCGCCGGGCTTGTGGCAGGCGGTAGCAAACCATTGAGCACCCGAAGGTGTCCTCTCACCGTGCTCGTGCTCTACGCTGATCGAGCTGTGAGCTTATAACCCATAGATCTGTTGTCTCCCATGGCTAGGTTTTAAGTGAAAAGGGCCATCGACCTCTCCCTAACCTCCGAAGAGGATTGGATTGTGAGACTGAGTTAGTCTGACCCTTAACCATTGATCTGTCTGGTATGAGTGGCTCTAAAAGCACTTGGAAAGTGCCATCCAGCATAACTCAATGGGTCACGGGGGTATGTAAATCATCGCACCGAACTTTTTTTCAATTCTGTCGTCTCCAGATTTGACTGGCGGCCGTTTATTGGTCTAAGTATAGTTATTCCACCATCAATATCTGAACGTATCACAGTTATGTTTTCTCATCTTTTTACTCAAAAAGTTGCCCAGCGCATTTATTCTCTCGGCTTTTTTGGGTAGAACATATACCAGTAGTGAATTAGCAACTTCAATTTGCCTAGGCAACTCGGTTTTCTCAGAGCGTTACTTGGGGAACGAGCTGGCACGCAGCTGTTCCTCTCTCACAGCTAACAGCTGCTGGCAACGGCCTGTTAGTTCACCAATCTAGGTAGCTCTGTCACTTGCTGCGGTCGTATCATCTTGCAGTTTGCTGCGTTCGTCGACAAGGCTCTTTCTTCAATTAGGAAGGCAGCGCGACTTTACTCTGTCGCTCCAAAGTAGGTTTTACAACACTTCATTGAAGCCGGTGATAATGGATTCTCTAGGGGTGTGCTTACATGGAGAACGTGAAAATACCGTTTTCTTTTGTCATTGGTGCCTGTGATCCATGACATATGTCTATTAGGGCTACTGAACATGCATTGTTGGGTCTACTTACTGGTTTAAATCAGTTTTTCATGCATTGTGCCTAAATCTGTACACTGGTCAGGTCGCGTTGTTCGCATGCTCAGTACCTCACATTGTGCTACCTATCAGTGACATATCCAATTAAACGAAATCCGAACGCGACCAATTTTTTGCATCGAAGCAGCAGGCAAAAATCGATCGACTGACTTGACCGAGCATGTGCCGTGCTGTTTCCCTAGATGGGACTGTCGGGATCGGCTGTATCAATGGTTGGCGACCCTTGACATAGTCACAAAATCACGGGTGCATCCGTACTTCTCACTGTTGCTCTTCCGTTTGACAATTTCATCATCTTGTGTGTAAATTTTCACCCAATCTTGTGTCTGTTTTCCCCCATAATCTTCACATCTAATCAAAGCAACTGGATCCACCACGCTGGTGCCCAAATCATAATTGACCCACTGAATAAGACAGTCCCCCTCATCCGTGAATGTTTCACGAGGTTCGCAATATCTCGCTTTCACCCTATTCGCTATGCGAGCCCATTTTGTTTGCCATAGTTTTAAAGCATTTAACTTCGCTTTTGCGTACTAGATGTATGTTACATTGCCTCTGGGCTCCCTGGACACTCAATTGTTTAACTAGTTGTTTAAGCTACAATTTTAATTCGCGTTATACTTTATGGAATACTTATGTTAGGGTTAGAGCCAACCTAGCCCGAGTGAAATCCAGGATTTGGAAAACCGAAACCAGATGGCGCCACGGGACTGTGTTCAAACTTGTTGCTGTGCCAGAAAAGCGAACTAACATCATGTTCCTAGTCTAGTTTGCAACACTACAGGTGGATATGCACAGTGTTGGCGTGTTTTCATCAAATCTAAAACTTATCTGATCCATCTCTTACGACCAAAAGTTACAAACACTTTCGCTCTGTTTAGAGGTTCGCCTATCTTACTTCCTGCGCAAATGGCAATAATTGTCTATTATCATATCCTCGGTAATACTCATTCCTCGTGAAGTTCGTTCATAAATCCAAAGAGCCCGTTCTCTCACTGGTTATTTGCTTACCTGAGGATTGTATTGTTTTTTTTTTCTTGATACATTGTTGCAGCCTGGATCACATAGATGAACAAGCCAAAGCCAACCTGGACGTGCTCATTTCTGCTAAACAGGGAACGGGGGTGTGTCAGTTGACGGAATTAATTGAAGCTGAGCTGGCTCGTCGTCTCCAGTGGACACGTCGCACACTCAAAATGAAACAAGGAAGCGAGGCTCTCCAGTACGTTTCTTTCATGCATGTTCCCCATATACCACAGCGCTTTACTTTGCTGCACCAGGTGGTTAGCATAGCGAAGGCTGAGTGACGATACCAGTCCGTGGTTGATCAGCTGTGATCCGTGCACCGAAGTGCAGTATGTCAAAATGATTTGATCCACATTGACTTACTAACCTTGATGGATGGCAATTAATAAGAAGTCGGCGACAAATTAACCTCGTCAATTGTGGCAGGAAGGAATCAAAACAAAAGATGCATGCTATGGTTTGACTGTCTCCGCAACCACGTACTCATTGAGGCGTCTAACCGCTGATATGGCCGGTCTAGAGGAACGTGACGCGTGTCAGCCGTCACGCCCAAAATGTACGTTAACATGGTATGATGACTCACTTACTTTCATGATCCATTGAGCTACGTTGTTTAGCACTGTCTAATCGTCTACAGTCATTCTCCAAGCCAATACCCTACTTTCGACTATATTTGTCCACAGTCTTCCACCACAGTGAACACGCGGACCTACATCACTTGGTCGAGATAATCAATCACTTTTTTACATAGTCCGTATCCCCAAGCAAATCTGATGGTAGAACTTATCTTCTCCCATCAGGACGTAACATGGTGAGACCATGTGTGCTAATAAGTGTTGCTCATCCATTTCATTTGAGACATAGGCAAATTGACATTAACCTGCGGCCGATGGCTTTCTGTTCATTCGAACGTCCTTTGGTATCGCGAAACGGACATGTTCCAGTGGTGATATAAATCCGTCTTCAACTCAGTGGATGAATTATCTAGCACCTTCCTAGCGCAGCTTCTCTCCTTCGACCCTGTACATCTCACTAAGCACTGAGCTCGTTTTACTGCATCAACTGCGGTGGCTAGGACACGTATTGCGCATGCCTGTTCAGCGTTACCCGCGTCGTGCGTTGTTTGCGGTTGCTGGACAGGGCTGGAAGAGACGGTCTGGTGGACAGCCTGCAACTTGGAGAAGCCGCATGAAAAAGCTGACGAAACAGTTGGCCTCGGCCGGTTGTTGTCGACTACCCAGTTGGGGTCCGACAGATATTTGCTGGTTGAAGACCTTGAAAGCCATGGATCAAGATCAATGTCAGTGGCGGACGTGTGCATAAGTGTGTTGCGGTGTCCCTCCTTCCTCCCCTAACAAAATCAAACTGAAAATATTCGAAAGCTGAGTGACAAACTAGACAATAAGAAGCTTTTGTTATTGTTGTTATTTTCATACTGTTTTTCTATTCAGCCATGATTCCGAGGGCACAATATCTGTACCACAGATTTTGTATATATATATATATATATATATATATATATATATATATATATATATATATATATATACATATATATACGCTTTCATTGTCATAGTGACGGAGTTCCTTTCTCCACTAGCTGGGCACGCCGCAGTGAGCGTTGACTTGCGTTTCAATCTAACGGTGTTCATACTTTCATACATCATGTCTTCATCTCTTTTGCAAATACACAGATTTCACCCGGTTACTGATGCGTTAGGCACATCGTCGAGAGTTTCATATAGAGCTTAGTGGGCTTGAAATTCTGGCAAAATGTGGAACTGAATGAGGTAATGTGCGTTGTAATACAATTGGAAGGATACACCAGTGGCGCATATTCACTGTGTGCAGCAGATAAGATAATTCTTCCTCGACTGCACAACAGCTAATGAGGCTTGAGGTTAACTGTGGTTAGACAACCATAGTGTTTATAATTTGATTGGGGAGTTGTGGATCCTCAGACCAAGACTTCGGCACGCTGTGGTCTTAGAGGGTAACACAATGCATCTTCCATTTAATCGGTCCATGCACTAACTTCCTGGCTCCTGGCTAAAATAAGCACTTGATCCTACTCTCACCTGGCGGCTACCACGAGAGAGCGCTCGGAACATAAGTCAATGACCAAACTAGGACAGCTTCAGGTCACTTATCTGTCAGGAGCCCGCTGCCACTAATCGCAGTCAAGCAAATTAGTATCAATGGCACGCCAGTACAGTGTGTTGATGTTTCTCAGCCACTTAATCGCTAGTGTGTGTACGCGGTTTCATTTACTTCAGGGGCATGCATTCGCGATAAAGCGTACGTACTTAGACACCGGGCATATTGTTTGCAAACCAGATGTCTAAACCACAGACCCTCACTAACCCCAGTCAAACACTGACACTTCTGCAACTGCGTCCTTTTACGATAGGGCATTGCTTCCTTGCCATTCGTCCAGCAGCTGTCCATCATCCAATGTGCCACAATGATGTACATGTGTCATAGCGACCGTAATCAAAATGAGGTTTCAACACACAGATCCGCTCATTTTGAAAGTGTTTGGCTCTATTTTCCAACTATATCAACGTCAAAAGGTTGTCCAAGTCAGCGCGAAATATAACCATGTTTTGGTGGCTTTCATGAATACCGTTTAAATGTTGGTAGAGCTGTTCGCGAACAGCTCTACTTCCTTCATGAATGCCTGAGAAGGAACGTGCTGCCAGCAAGTACCAACCACAGACCGGCGCTAAACCATCCAGCCGCCTGGAACTTAGCACGGCAATACGGGAGACGCATGGTCAAACTGATGATAACAGATGCCCATAACCGCCTACGCAAATACGAGAAAGTCATAACCGACAATAGAACCAACCGTTTAAATGCTTTGTCCTGCTGCTCAATTAGCATCTATGATCCAGCTTTTGCCTCTCAAGACTGTTTATCGTTTCAGTTGCTGGCATTCTCCATCGCTAAATTATTGCATCCGCTCCCTCGCAAGCACGATGCCACCTTTTCCCTCTGTCACCGCAGTAGGCTCCAGTGTGGTGAACTGGGCACTACGTGCTTGATGGCGTGCACTAAAAGCATGATCTCCTTGATACCTTGCAAACTGCTATTTGACGTTTTCTCCTCCAACTATGGCACTGGTAGCACTCAGTGTTCAACAGTTTGCTTTTTCTTACTGCATACTCTTCTCCTAGCTGTCACTCACGAACTTTCTTTGATCTGGCTGACAGCATTCTTACATCGTCTCCGTTTTGCGCTTATCTTCCACCATTGGCGGCTGTACACTTAATGAATGAAAAACTCCTGGGTGATCAATGGAACTCATTTATAGTGCTCATCTTTCTTGCTTCTGAAGCGCGTCTTGATCCCTTGGCCAGGCAATTGGACATGTCCAAACGTGGCATATCGACCACACTTATACGAAATCCGTCTTCAGTCTCACTGATTCTATACTTTATCACATCTAGCTTCCTACTCACTTAAAGGGCTTGTGAAGTAACTAATGCTAACATAGTCGGGGAGTGCACATTTTTCACTTGCATATTGTTTATCATACTTTATTTACCTTATAGTGAATGTTACTATCTCTGTCTTGGCAGCTGCATTTGTTGTCCCAATCGATGTAACGATATTTGGGCACCCTATCCTAGTTTGGGTCAACGTAACTAATTAGCACTCGTCCTGTCACCCGAAATCCAATTTTTATATAAGCTATCAATCGAGACTTGCTTGCGGTAGCTTCCAAGTCAGCTACTCCTCCACACGCCCGCAGAAGTAACAGACGGCCCTTTCGTCCTATCGGCTCGTTAGTAGTGTGCCTTACTCGAATGAATTGTGGTATACTACAGCTGGCTTGCAAATAATGATAGTCCATTGTCGTGCCCCATGGCCTAATGGCACAAGTTGCTGTCTGGCGATGCAAGCTGCTAGTTGTGACTTTCTTCCTTCATGGATCCGAGGGATCTGCACTGCTGACCAGTCCCGACAGGAAGAAACAGTCGTCTAATGTTTTTGCGGGCTTGTGAAGGACCATCTGACCTGAAAACTACTGTGAGAGTCCTTGATTAATTGCACACAAATATTCTACTCAGGAGTTTATAACTTATTACCGTTTCTTAAACGTGTGGTATCGATGCTGTTGCCTAAAGCTGCCAGGTGCGTTGCTTATCAGAACATATCACATGACATTCCGGTGATTGTGTTTGCTTGAGCGCCATCTCTCAGTCATGGGACACCGTTTGATCACAGGATCGAGCAATTTCCCGACGCCTGTCGACAACAGCCCCTCATAATGCCACGCTATCGCGTTTCCTTGGCGGCGGTCAACGTTCGCACTCTAAGACAAATTGGTCAACAGGCTGTACTCGCACATACCTTGGACACACTGGGTATTGATGTGTGTTGTGTATCCGAAACTAGAATCAATGACTTTAATGGGGTTGTCGAATTAACTGTGCCCGGCCTGTCCTCTCGCTATTGGTTTCACGCATTCGGAGACGCCGGTGCAGCACTCACGGGTCAAGCTGGTGTAGGTATCATTCTAAGCTCCAAGTCTGGGCCACCGTTGGTTGATGGGATTCCGGTGAACAGCCGTTTGTGTGCAGCCCGTTTGACGACCTCAAGGTTGATTCACGAAGTAGTACAATCGCTGTTTGTTTGTGATTTATGCTTATGCTCCCACCGATCGCAGTTCAGGTGCTGTCAGCGACACATTCTATCATGAACTGAACGCGCTACTACGCAGTGCTATTAGTTCAAATATTATAGTACTTGAAGGATATATGAACGCACAAGTTGGGTGTCTGAGATCTTCAGAAGCTCAGCTGGGTTGTAAGTATAGCGTAAACTTCGAACGGACTGACAACGGCGAACGTCTACTGCAAGTGTGTGCGGAGCACCAATTGTTTCTTAGTAGCACTGCTTTTGACACAGTGGGCGCCGAGGTGTGACTTGGTCTCCTCCTGTAGCTGGCCAGCGATGGACCTAAATTGACCACAATGCCATAAGTTACAGGTGGTGTGGCTTCACCCTGCATTGCCGGTCGTTCTGTATCACCTGCTTCGACTTTGATCATACTATAGTACACTGTCGTTTCTTCACGAATATTACCGGGAGGCGCACGAAGCGTCTCCCGCTATTGCCAACTGAAAAATTGTTTCATCCCTCGGTCAGGCAGGCCTATCAAGACGCACTCATCATCATCATCAACAGCAGTACATCAGCCATTTGAACTGATGCTTCACTGCCATACAACCATGACGACCTATGAAATAAGAATAAGAAGAGGGGGAGAAGGGGGACTTACCTGAAAGCCGTAATGTCCTAAGCAAACATTTAGAGTCACGGCGCCTACACCTTGTGTAGACAACATACCGTCACAAACAGCTGGCTATCATGCAAAGATAAGGCGGCATCGGCGAGACAGCTTCCTTGCGGCTTTCACTGCCCCGCGTCATAATCAGCCAATATCCCGCAGATAACTCAGCACCAAACACACTTTAAACAGGCAGTCCAATTAGGAGACGGCAGCAAACGCTCCACTGGTGTCGGTTGCGAGCCATGTCCCGTAAAGTCTCGAGCTAAGCACAAGGTGAGTCACGTGGACTCCAGCCCGAAGGGCGAGACGGACCAACGGCACCCAGTTTGGTCGTCAGTGACTTAATTTCCCGCTGCCAAGTCAATTTCTGTCCACCTCGAGCCTTGCGTCACCCTCCACCTGGTAGACTGAACAAGGCCCTCCTAGGTAAGCGGTGACCAGGCATATGTAGCACGTGCCCGAGCCAACGCGACTTATTCAGTGCTATCTGTTGTTCTAGGGAGTTAGCATCATTATCATTACCTAGTACTCGCCTACGCACATCATCGTTGCGGACAGGCTGGTGTCATTTGACACCAGCAAGGCTTCGCAGACAACGATGATCAAGACGCACTGCGTCGGGAACTCGCTGTCTTGTGCTAGTGACTGAGTGTCAGTGGAATAGGATCTGGACTGCCATGCACGAGGCAGGAGCATCTGCTTGTGGTACTATCAATCGTCACCGCACCAGTCACTGTATGTCCGATAGGTCGAAGAAGCTGTTATAAACCAGAAACAAACTCTCAGTTGGCTCTGAGCAGAATGTGACCAGAAGGACTATTAAGCGCGAGCTAAAGCGCATCCTGCGGGCTGACAAGAAAGCCTGGTGGGCCAGTCGGGCTCAAAAAATGGAGTAGGAGCAGTAAGCAATAACCGCAAGTTCTTCCAGTTGATCCGCACCACTAGTCCCAGAAAGCCAGACAGTGAAACAGTCAGAGACACTGCGAGTGCACTGATACGCAGTAAAGAGCGCCGTATGGCTAGCTGGGTAGAATACTTTAGATCGCTTCAGTTGGCTCTCTCTCCCGGACTTCTTCCTACTCAGGCGATGCAGGACTAGTCACGGACCGTTAGTTTAGAGGCTCCATCGGAGATTGAGGTCCGAACGCGATCTTAATCTTTAATCGTTTTCGTGCTCTTGGTATGGATCCCCTCCACCTGCACTACGTAATGATGGAGGTGAGGTCCTCTGCAAAGCACTGACCTCTTTAATCGAACGTATCTAGAAGGAAGACAGTGTCCCGACTAACTGGAGTGAATGGATTATAGTGGCGATATACAAGAAGGGCAGTCGCACAGACTGCTAACCACCGGGGTATTAGCCTAACGCCATTCGCAACAAAATTACAAGCCTCAATTCTCGTTCGTCGCCCCATGGTGCAACGGGAATCCCGGATTAGGGAAGTGCAAGCAGGTTTACCCCCAGGACGTGGCTGTATAGACCATAGGTTCACTCTGCGGCTGATGCTAGAGTAGCGCCGCGCATACCTCAGACCAGCAACAGCTGTGTTCCTCAATTTCAAGAGTGTGTTCGATTCAGGAGCTCGATTTACTTTGTTCGAAATACTTGCGCGGAAAGGTGGCCCCACGAAATATGCGAAAATCCGACGTGCTTCATACTCGAACACTACAGGCTGCGTCAGAATCTACGGTGACCTGTCGGATAGCTTTCCGATTACAAGTGGCGCTCGTCACAGCTGTCCGATGTCTCAGTTTTTGTTCAATTTTATCGCGGACTGTATCATAAGGTGCGCATTTTTCGAACCTCATGATGTAGACGTTGAGGTCCTGCTTGATGAAATGTTAGTGAATCTTGATTATGCGGACGATATCGTCTTACTTTTCGACGATGTTGCAGCGGTACAATCAACCCTGAATAGCTTGTCTAGAGTGGTCCCATTATTTTGCATGCGTTTTGCACCTTCAAAGTGCAAAGTGTTGCTTCAGGACCACCAGCCACTTGATGATCTCTTGACAACGAGGAACTCTAAGTGGTTGATCAATTCACTTACCTGGGCAGCTGCATCAGTAATGATGGGCGCACAAAAACAGGTCAGTTCACGCATTGCAAAGGCCAGAACTGCCTTCTTGAACCTGTGGCATCTTTGACGACAGAAGGGAGCTTTCCGCATTTTGAAAGGCCTTGTTTACAGGACCACATTGTGGGCCGTCCTGCTCTATAGGAATGAGACTTGGCCCCTTCGGTCTGATGATCTGAGGCACCTTCAAGTCTTTGATAATCGTTGTCTGCGGAGCATTGCTGATGTCGGAAGGCACCAGCGTGTCCGCAACGATGATGTGTGTAAACGAGTACTAGGCAGTGACAACCAAACTAGTTCTTTAGAACAGCATGTAGCACTGCATAAATTGTGTTGGCTTGGGCACGTACTACGTATGCCTGGTCACCGCCTACCTAGGAGGGCTTTGTTTAGTCTGCCAGATGTAGGGTGGCGCGAGGCTCGAGGCGAACAGAAGTTGACTTGGCAGCGGGAAATGAACTCACTGGATGCCGTTGGTACGTCTCTCCTTCCGTGCTGGAGTCCACGTGACCCGTCTTGTGCTAGGCTCGAGACTCCTAATCGGAGTGCCTGTTTAAATCGTGTTTGATGCCGAGTTATCGGTGAGGTACTGACTGATTATGACGTGGGGCAGTGAAAGGCGCATGGAAGTTTTCTCGCTGATGCCACCTTGTGTTTACACAGTAGCCAGCTGTTTGTGACGGTATATTGTTAACACCAGCTGTGGGCGCCTTGACCCTGAATGTTTGCTTGGGGCGTTAAGGTTTTCAGGTAAGTCCCCCTTCTCCTCCTCTTATTATTATTCTTTATTTCATAGGTCATCGTGGTTGTATGTCAGCGAAGCATCAGTTCAAGTGGCTGTGTTACTGCTTTTGTTGATTGATTGATTTGCCGCTGATCCGGAACGGACGGCGTCGGGTGTCATGTTGGCTGGTCGTCTAAGCGAGTGGAACAGATAATGCCAACAGTCGGAAAGCCAAGCAAATGCGAACTAACGACCAGTGCGAGCCAAGGAATTTAGACAAATGGCCAGCAAGAAACAATCAGTAAAAGGGCGCTACGATAAAGTAATAATATAAATTTGTGTACAGTTCCTTACGAAGATGTTTTCGTATCGTTGTCCAGTCTTCCTTTTAATTCATTGGGGCCTATTTCGGTAACAGCTATCTGTTTTGTATGCCATGATCAATGTAACCGGTAGGAATGATTCGCTGACCAACTGTAATGGGTTAACGCTGTTCTTGGAACGTTCGAGGCACACTTCTCAAGGCATGAGCATAGGATTATAGGCATTAACGAATTATCCGACACAGTACATCAGTAATCATTAAAGGCATGAAACATGTGTACAGTATCCGTAAAATCATGTTTGAACTCAACTTCCGAATAGTCGCGATGGCAGACAATGGCGTATATGATTGAAAGTGGAATATGTGAAAGTTAATAAAGGTTGCTGCGGTGACAGAGATGGTATGCATTGCCGAACGAGGAGGGCAATCAACAGCACGACACAGTAGCTTTACTCCTTTGATTAGTCGTGTTTTTTATGACGGTAACAAGATATTGCGCTCGCTACTCGAATTCGCTGCCATCCAGTTGCATACTATTGGGTTCAGCGGGATTGAGAGTTTACAGAATCCGCGGGCCAAATAGGATCTTCATATAAGTCACACTCAAGCGAACAGGCAAATCGTCGGGATTGTGCAAGATCCCCGAAAATTTCGCGGACATTTTTGTGGACCTCAGGCACTATTGATGTGTATGTGTGTGAGGTGTTGTTACTAGTTCTCTACTCTGCTACACATCCTGATGTTAGTTTGAGTGAGTTGAGCCGGCACATATTCGTCTTCGATTTGGTGACTCATTCTTACGTGACATCGTTATTATGTGCTGTTTCGTTGACTCCCCTCATCCATTGCACCCGAGTATGCTCAATTTGTGTCGGATGTTGTTTTGATTTTAGATAGCCCCTTGTCTTTTTCTGGCTCTCTAGCTGGAGCTGATTTAGCCTGCTTTTTTCTGACACCGATCACGAGGCCATGAACAAAATCTATTCGCCTACTTCTGGTTACGATCAAAATCTGACATCTATGTGGTCTGAGAATCGTATTCGGTTGGTCAATGTTCCCCAGATCTAGCTTTTTACTGTTGCTTCCGCTTTGAATATGGAGTCCAAAGCGGCGGATAACATTCACGCCCTGATACCAGAATTGTGACTACTGCTTGCGCTTATGAACCATTAGTCTTTTCCTGCATTTTTGATGTCGTCGACATTTTCACTGCTTGTCCGCATTACTCTCTTCATTCATCGCAGATGGCTCTACTCAAACGCAATGGTCATTGATGTTTCTGCGATCGATGACGATCCCGGTCACCTGACAGTGTCTGCATTATTCACTCCCTCGTCATGGGGCAGAATGCAAACTAATTTTCGAATTGGACCGACGCAGTCACTGCAAGCTGCTGAAATCGGAAACCTTTGAAACGAATGACTACTCCTTGTCTTTATCCGGCTGCGCTTACTTTTGTATCGCATTTTAACGGCTTTATTTCTGTTTTATATTACCTTGACTGAATGAAAAATTTTCCATATACCCTTGTTTTTATACTGGGTCTCATGCGTCGGGGCACGTACCTTGAGGGGAGGTTAGGCGTCGTGCTTTTGGGACTTTAACTGATTAACTGAGTCTCATTACAACCGCACCAGGTAGTGAATCGCTGCTACTCTCGGAACTATTGCTAACCCAAAATTTTTACTAAGGCCAACAACCTGTAAAAGTTAGTTTATTTTTTCCGGCGGTGGTCATCCCTATCTACTGGCCCAACGGTTTTAACCATTGATTCGCATGCAGCAAGTCCTGGATTCTACTCACTCAGTCGGTAGATGAAATACATGCTACCCACAAATGCTAGAGTAATGAAACGGTTTCCTAGGATACAATGACTATCTGGCTGAATGTAGACGTAATAGTTATCCATTGAAAATTCATTTTCTGATTGATTTATGAACGAGTTGCCTTTATACCATATGCGGCAATATAAATGCTTGAAGTAGACAAACGGAAGGCTAGGTAAAATCGCCTTTATTTCACTGTTCGAGAAGCATTTGGTGTGATATATCCGTGTAAATTGAGGAATGTGAATGGACAATGCCATCGGGTTGTTAGTCTGTAACACTCAGATTACTGAGTAACGACTTCGAGCGATGGCGTTGGCACACGAAATAGAGAAGCTGGAAGCTCTCCTCTGGATTCGCCACGGCAAGGGGAGTAGGTCAGTTTTATCCTATCTGTCCCTTTCTTCTCAACTTCGCCATCGAAGTGACGATCTTTCTCCAGCCCTCCTCAAATTCGGAGGCTCTTTACATGAATTACTAGTGAAACTGTGGGAGCAGGGGACTGTCCCAACCGACTGGAGCCGCTCCGTTATTGTTCCTATCTTCAAAGGCGGCTCGCGCTCGGAATGCAGCAACCATAGAGGAATCAGTTTGATCTCCATCGCCTCCATAATTCTTCACAGGCTGACTGGTGCTCGTGAAAGCCAGATTCGTGAGGAGCAAGCCGGGTTTCGTCGGGGTCGTGGCTGCATCGACCACATCTTCACCTTGCGTCAGTTGTTGGAGCACACATATTGGCAGCCCACCGTAGTCGTATTCCTCGACATCAAAGGTGCCTTTGATTCGGTTGATCGATGTGCCCTTTGGAATTGTTTACTCAGGAAAGGTGTGCCCGAGTAATATGTAAATATTATCCCAACATTTTATACGCGAGTAGCACGGGCAGAGTGTGGGCTTACTGCAAGCTGTCGCCACTCTTCAATATCTCCAGCGGTGTGAGACAAGGATGCCCGCTGTCACCTTTCCTCTTCAACTTCGCTATTGACGAAGCCATGGAGTTTGCATTTACAGGACATGACTTGGAAGGTGTGGAGCTACTCCCAGGAGGACGATTTCTTGACTTGGAGTATGCAGACGACATTGCCATCATCTATGACATCCCAGACGTGCCAAACCGCGCTGGACAGATTAGCACTGGCTGTCAGCCGCTTCGGGCTTTGCTTTGCACCATCGAAGTGCAAAGCTTTCCTCCAAGATTGGCAGAGATCGCCTCCTGCGCTGACCCTTGGTGGGGATCAGCTAGAAGTCGTTCAGAAATTCACTTACCTGGGAAGTTGTATCAGCGCTCGTGGGATCGAAACGAGATCACGAACCGTATAGCAAAAGCTCGAAGTGCTTTTGCTAACCTCCGCCACTTATGGCGGCGGCGCGACATCACTCTCGCCCTGAAGGGTAGAGTGTACAATGCAGCGGTACGTTCGACCCTACTGTACGGTTGCGAAACCTGGCCCCTAAGGTCGGCGGACCTGAAGAGGCTAGTTACGTTCGACCATCGGTGCCTTGGCAGTTTGGCTCACATCTGGTGGGAACACCGCGTGAGTAACGAGCGTGTTCGACGCATTGTTTACGGCCCAGAAAAAGGATCTGAACCACTCAGCTCCGTTCCTTCACGCACTAGGCTCTGATGGCTGGGCCACGTGTTACGCATGCCAGCCCACCGACTCCCTCGACGTGCGTTGTTTGCTCACCGGGGATGTGGGTGGAAGAAGAAGTGGGGTGGCCAAGCGATGACTTGGTCGAGAGGAATGAAGTCCCTCACTTCTGAGCTAGCCTCGGTTGGAGCATCTCGGCTCCTTGGTTGGGGTCCAAAAGACGGTGAACACGTTTGGCTGGATACACTTGGTGACATGGCAAGGAGCCGACCTCAGTGGCGTTTGTGCTGTGAGTTTCTTTGTGCCCCCCATCCCTTTTAGCCTCCCCTCCATCTATGTTCTCATTTCGTATGGTAAAACACTAAATTTTTTTATTTTTGCCTAGTAGTCGGCTGGTAGCTTACCGGAACGATGCCTATCCGTTGCTGGTAACTCAGCTGTCATGCAACTGTTGTATCTATTTTTCCTTTGTATATTTTATTATATGTATGTATTTCCTTCATGTATTGCGGCACAATAGTGGAGGTGTTTTCCCACCTCCAGCTGACGTGTATAATGATGACTCCACTTTTTCTTGGTATAAGTTTTGGTAGGCAGTTGACTTTCAAACCTGGAGTGCACGATTGACACATCTCTCTTCAGAGCTGACCCATGTGATATGCCGCCACCACTGATTATGCTGACACGTTACGCTGTGCGCCTCCGCATGTACAGTACCTTTTCAAATTGTTGTTACTGGACTGACCTAACAAATCGCCATTTTTCCTCGTCAGTCAACAACCGCTCAGAATGGTCAGTTAATTTATTTAGGTGTCCTCTTTAGCCCCTGATGGCTCCATCCATGAGGATCTTACTGTCAGCATTTCTTGGGTTCCTGTGGCTTTTAAAAGCCTTGGTCGCTTAGGTAGACTGCAGTATACAAACACACTGGTCAGAAGGACGGCTTCCAACAATACGACGTGATAATTGTCACTATGTGGATCAGTTGTCTGGTAATTACACAATGAGGACCTTATGAGAGTGACTGTGTTCGGCCGCCAATTCATGCACAGGGTGGCCAACATCTGATGACAAAACCGAATGAGTAGCACGTCACTAATCTCTGCTGTCTTTAGTGTTAATCTTGAGTTCTGGTCGCTCTAGCTAGCTCCCTAATGTCTTCTGTATGCCAACGGTCCGACCATCTCATGGTACTGTTTGACAATACTGTTCCTAGTTTAATACCGGTGATTGTTATGGATAAGACCATAAATAAGGTTATTAAAAGCAACATTTGATTGATGCTTGTCGCAATCCTGGGTGCGAACGTCAGGCTCAAAATTTCAGTGGCTAGACATTCCATCCGGTATCGTACAATCACGAAGTCGATAACGTCTTGATATTCACTCATTTTGTTCTGGTCCTTAACTACTGCATCTTGTGACCTTATTTCTGGTGCATTCCTCCATTATCCATTCAGCAACATTAGCATTGTTATTTTTGTTACCTGTCAAAACATCTGAATTCACCTTAACTCCATTCTCGGGTCCCAGTTGTCAATCCTAAATGTTGTGGGTTGTAGTGTTTCAGTAATGTGCACTACTTACTGACATCAACTCTTCGTATATGTCCACGTCTTCGGCACTGCCTAAATAAAGCTAATCCTTTATTTCTCCTAGGGAGTGGAATCTATCAACCTCGGCTGCTTACCTGTTTAGCTTTCGAAAGACACTGGCAACATTCCATGGGTAAACTTGACTGTTGTAGTCCATCGTGATCACCTACCTCAGGCGTTTTAGTTCACTTCAGTACAGTTATACAACTATGATCCGCACACTGGAGTGCGGTGGATCCAGTTGCCACGACTCACATCGTCGAAGTAACACGAGATAACAACAGTAGGAAAATAAGCTTGAACGCAGATAGAATGCAAAGAGGACGCATTTTAAAAAAGTGTGTTAAACAAATCGGGATGGCACGGAAAGTAATAGCTAGATGCAAGAAACCGCATGCAGTAATACCCAGCCACTGGTGTAAACGATCCCGAGACCCCCATCCATAAAGACGGTATACCCCAGCCTGGTCAACTCACTCAGCAATTTTTTTCGTGCCTTTATGCCGCATCATCGATTGGCCATCTCACTGTTTCGCCCTACTTGGTACGGTCACGGTGTATAATGCACGCCGAGGAAAGCGGTCAATGAGCATACAGTGGGCATGACCTAGCTAACGTAAACGCTAAAGGTTCAGCGAACACCCGAGTGACGCACCAGAAGGCTTCTTGCCAAAAACAAACTGGCGAACCTCAGCATTACTCACGCGGTCTTCTTACCAGATGCGAGCAATACTCCGAAACGACTGGGGGTCAAACACAGTCGATTGTTTAATATCTTTACTTGCAACAGGTAGGTCATCGATCCATAGAGTAGTACCAGCCTTATCACAGTGTTGTACACCATGCCGTTCACTTACAGGCTGATATCCCGCCGTCTCCATAATTGCTTGCATCTCTTAAATGCGACACAGACTTTCATCATCATCCACAACAGCAGTACCTCAGTCGTTTGAACTGATGCTTCGCTGCCATACAACCACGATGACCTATGAAATAAAGAATAAGAAGAGTGAGAGAAGGGGGGCTTACCTGAAAACCTTAAAGCCCCAAGCAAACATTCAGGGTCAAGGCGCCTACACCTTGTGTTCACAATATACCGTCACAAACAGCTGGCTATTGTGCAAAGATAAGGCGGCATCAGCGAGACAGCTTCTTTGCGGCTTTCACTGCCCCGCGTCATAATCAGCCATTACCCCACAGACAACTCATCATCAAACGCGATTTAAACAGGCACTTCAATTAGGAGTCTCGAGCCTAGCACAAGACGGGTCACGTGGACTCCAGCCCGGAAGGAGAGACGTACCAACGGCATCCAGTGAGTTCATTTCCCGCTGCCAAGTCAACTTCTGTTCGCCTCGAGCCTCGCGCCACCCTACATCTGGCAGACTAAACAAGGCCCTCCTAGGTAGGCGGTAACCAGGCATAAGTTGTACGTGTCCAAGCCAACGCAACTTATTCAATACTACCTGTTGCCCTAAGGAACCAGTTGGGTTTTCACTACCTAGTGCTCGCCCACACACATCATCGTTGCGGACACGCTGGTGCCTTCCGAAATCAGCATTGCTCTGCAGACAACGATGATCAAAGACTTGAAGGTGCCTCAGATCATCAGACCGAAGGGGTAAAGTCTCATTCCTATAGAACAAGACGGCCCACAATGTGGTCCTGTAAACAAGGCCTTTCAGAATGAGGAAAGCTCCCTTCTGTCGTCAAAGATGCCACAGGTTCAAGAAGGCAGTTCTGGCGTTTGCAATGCGTGAACTGACCTGTTTTTGTGCGTCCATCATTACTGATGCAGCTGCCCAGGTAAGTGAATTGGTCAACCACTTCGAGTTCCTCATTGTCAAGAGATCATCAAATGGCTGGTGGTCCTGAAGCAACACTGCACTTTGAAGGTGCAAAACGCATGCAAAATAATGGGACCACTCTAGACAAGCTATTCAAGGTTGATTGTACTGCTGCAACATCGTCGAAAATTAAGACGTTATCATCCGCATAATCAAAATCCATTAATCTTTCATCAGGCAGTACTTCAACGTCTACATCGTGAGATTCCGTAAAAGAACACTCCATGACGGTGTCCAAGACGAAATTGAACAAAAACTTTGAAATCGGACAACCCTGACGAACGCCACTTGTTGTCGGAAAGCTATCCGATAGGCCACCATAGACCAGGATGCAGCCTGTAGTGTTCGAGTGTAGAGCACGTCGGATTTTCACATATTTCATGGGCACACCTTTCCGCACAAGTATTTCGAACAGAGTACATCGATCTCCTGAATCGAACGCACTCTTGAAGTCGAGGAACACAGCTGTTGTTGGTCCGCGGTATGCGTGGCGTTATTCTAGCACCAGCCGCAGAGTGAACTTGTGGTCTATACAGCCACCTCCTGTCGTAAACCTGCTTGCTCTTCCCTGATCCGGGATTCCCGTTCCACCATGAGGCGACGAACGAGAATCGGGGCCAGTACTTTTGTTGCAAATGGCATTAGGCTAATACCAAGGTGGTTAGCAAAGTCTGTGCGACTGCCTTTCTTGTATATCGCCACCATAATCCATTCACTCCAGTTAGCGCGGACACTACTTTCCAGATACGTTCGAATAGAGAGGTCAGTGCTTTGCAGAGGACCTCACTTCCATCCTTAAATGCTGAAAGTGAGAGGGAATCCGGGCCAGCAGCAAGAAAACCGTTGAGGGCTGTGGTCGCGTTTCGGACCTCGGCCTCAAACGGAGGCGCTTAAGTAACCGTCTAAGGCTGGTCCTCCATCGCCTGAGTAGGAAGAAGTCCGGGAGAAGAGGGCCAACTGAAGTGATCTTAAAAGTGTTCCACCCAGCTTGCTATACGGCGACCCTTACTGTGTATCAGTGCATTCGCAGTGTCTCGGATTGTGATTACCAAACCTGATAATCGCTCCTCCGATTTCGTCCGAATTAACACTTGATGGAGCGAAACTACATTGGAATTTGACACCGTTTAGACAGCGATCAACCAGTTTTCCGGGACAAACGGATATCTAAACTTTTTAGGATTAGTGAGTGCAATCTGGTGAGTGACATCTGGTGGTTATGTGAGGTTAAAGCTTTCTGCATGAAAGCCTGGTGTTACTTGACTTTTCAGAGGGAATGACGGGTTGCATTGACGGACGGCTTAACTGCGTCGAATGGCCAATTAGTCTATTCTTATCAGTCTTACGATGTTTTAACTTAATGCACTCACCGAAACATATGTACGCCAACGTGCGATTCGATTCAGGGACGGTTAACAAAGTGATCTGACTTCTGTGTAATATCATGCCATCACAAACAGATCCAAATACGGTGAATTTTGGACCACGCTTGCGTTGCCAAAAGTGATGAGAATTTGTCGACTGCTTTGTATAACCGACATTAGTGTTATGACGATTGCACAATGTATCAGGTCTGTTCCCCTTATCCGATCGGCTTTCATCGAGTGAGTGAGGTTCACGTGATAACAGTCGACCGACTCGTGCTGGAGATCTTAAACAAGGACAACGGCTTCCATTCTGTCAACTCCGTACAACAGATGACGAATTTCGAAATAAAACCCGTCTTTGACCGAGTCACAGTTGTATTAATTTTGGCTATAAAGGGAGATGACAAATACGTTGCACCTTTCTTCATAACGTCTGTTGATTATGTAAGAAGTCTTGTGCCTAACTGCACATCGTCGATTATCAGTCAGGAACCGATTTAGCCGTTCAGCCTCTACTTTGTCTAAGTCATGTTGCTTCAAAGCCAGCCAAGATCGCAAAGTTTATTCTGCATCACCTGACAGATGTATGGAACATATGGCTTCGGGTTCAACATAGGAAGTCATTTGGTCGGAGTACTGGAGTACTGCGATCTGTCTTCGATATGATAGAAAAGCTCTATGATGGAAGACTCCAGGGTATACATCGGACTGGCCTGTCATTCAATCATTGAAGGTATACTTACCTTGATAATCACCAGAATGAACAAAACTTGGGTTGCAGAACGGTCAGTTATCAGGTTCCGTGTATCCAGCCATATTATCCAATAATAAAAGTCCAAAAATATCAGTTACTATTGTCAAAGAGACGTTTGTCTTGTGAAGAAGGTGCGCGAATGAATAAAGTTGCACTGGCGATAGGGTGTAAGGTTGACTTAACTATGGTTTGTTCTAAAGGGCTTGACACTACTCAATTTCTCAAACCAAACTAAATGGTGTACTTATACGACACAATCATGGGCTTTTACGCCTGATAGTTTATTCACAAGTTCAAGGGATCCTATTAATTAATAATCGGTGACCCATTACAAAGTTCATGTGCGTTTTGGCCAGGTGGATTGCTGAGCAGGAGCCCATTCTTCCACAGAAATCAACTAAACATTTGGATTCCAACACCTTAAAACACATAAAGGAGCAGTTTAACTTTTGTGTTACATCCGGCGACTCGCAGTTTTGTGAAATTTACTGTATGGTCTTTCACAAAGGGCACATCTTCCATGCACAATTCCATAACTTTCTGGAACATCACCGATTCATTCACTGAATGGAATAACCCCGAGCCACTGGTCTGCCGCCAAGGGGACTTTGATAATCCAGAGGCTTGGCATTCGAGTGGCATTTTTCAATTTATTAGATTGCAAGCTCTCTGCGCTGAAGACGAACAGCTTTTGTCACATAGGAATTGGACTTCATTATTCACAAAAGTGACTCTTAACCTCGAGTTGTTTGCTCATTTTGCATCTTCTAATCAAATATGCCAATACTGCTCAAGTCTTGTTGGCTTTGGTACCCCAGTATATGTATGATAGTATCAAGATGAGCTATTTACTCACAGATTGTTAACAATATGTTTTTAAGCACCTGATTTCCCTATCTTAGAACGCAAGCAAAAACTACAGTGCCTGCATTTAATTACCGTCCGGTATACACTATTTACTCTTTCAAACTTCTTCAGATAATAAATTTTTACGCTGTTTACAGCGTTTGCATATTCCCAGTGCATTATACGCTTTTATCTCGCAAACTACGTTTTACCAGTTACAATTGTTATTATTTCTAATCTTTGTGGTTCAGTTAAGGGCAGATCCAGACAAGCTATCCAAGGATAAAGTTAAATGACACCGTCCATTCTGGCTTCCGATTGCAGTTATTAGTTTATCTTGACACTTTTCTATCACAACATGTACATGTAACCGAATAAATTGAAATGGCTGTAGTTCGGGCTGACTGGTGTGATGTTGATTGCTTTGCTGAGCCAGACGGTTTTCCTGCAGACATCCCATCACCGATTGAGACGACATCTTTAATGCGTAGTTGTAAGTAGCCGGGCATCAACTACTGAGCTTCCAGCAAACTCAGGATTAACCTAAGTTAAATCTGGCTCGAAGAAGCAATCAAAATTCCCCTTAACCGAATCTCCGTTGAAGGTGGTCACGTAGAATATAGCCTTATTTGCAAAAGAAGTGGTGATTGATTTCCTTGCAATATTTTATTCATTTACATGTCAAATGGAAAGTTCAGCTATCGGGACGCACGTGGGTCTGCCATGGGCGCATTTGAATGGCAGACGGCAGTGTGACAGACTCCGAAGAAGCTCCAACACTTCTTGTTTATTCAGAATATCGCCAAATTGAATCGCCGAGCGGCACGCTCTTAATTGCATATACGGGTAGCACATTTCTCTGCAGATGTCGGAAGTAAAATAATAAAAAGGCATTTGGCGTGGATTATTATATATAGGAAGCGCTTCAATATACAGAACACAAGCTTATTTTGTTCAGCTTATGTAATTAGTCCAACAAGGTTCTTTATATGGTAGTCATTTTGCCTGTATCACTTGTGGACGCTTAAGCATATCGTTTCTAAACGCTGCAGAGACAGTCGTGAACTGCTGCATTTTGGCAAGATCGCTGTAAGCTGCCACACGTGAAACTTATGATCAGTAGTTTTACTCGACCTGTAACTTGGTGACCGCCACGAACTAGCAGTTACATTATCGGAGGACATAAAAAGAAGTGAGTATCAGAATTCTTTGGTCAGTTCTGTTATAAAACGAAACGTTTAACCGGCGAACGAAAGTTCATCCTTAAAGCTGGATGCCATTGCGTCTTTCTTACATTCAGTGGTCTAAAATGTCATAAACTATTACTGTAACTATATTATTTATTTGATACCAAAAATACGAATAATTGATGCTAGTCCATCGAAATGAGAACACAGTAGCGCTTGTGCAAACTCCTCACTAACGGGCTAATTCAATTAAAAACTATAAGAACACTTACCGGAATAAGCTGTTATGTAATATGTCTTTGGGAAAATGTAGCAAGACAACAAGTTCATCGCTGCTAACTGGGGATGTGCATGAATCGAGTAACCGAATGAAGTTAAACAAAGACACTGCTAAGTGACGCACTTTTTGTAATGATGTTTATTCTTGAATCACGGTTATTAGTTTTTAAGCTTTACTAGAGTAATACAGCAAATAATATCCCTATCTAAATGCTTTCGTAAACAGTTGAACGGCCTACGTTTTAGTGCCACATGTTACAACTAAATTGACAGTAGGTATTTGCGTTATGGTACACGGAACACTATCTTCCTCATTTTACGACCTATCAAGTTGTATCAGACAAGCAAATAACTGTATAATTAGACTTGTGAATCGCATTCATTCAGACTTTTGTGAAGGCGATGGTTTCATCCTAGATAGTAGCATTATCTCACCGTATATTTGATGATTGGTTAAAAAATAACCGTTGTATCTGACACTGTAAAAGCATTTGGTAAAATAGTGACCAAATGCGTAACATCTCAATCCACTAATTTTAAACTGCGTTTGCCTCTGATTAGACCACTGCCTATGCTATAAAACCAAGTGGTAACAGTTGAACGAACTTTTAAGTTTAACTAGACCATTACTGAATACAGACCTTAGCACGCTAGTTTGACAATAACCCACAATCATTCTGTCAGCTACACATGATTTTCACTTCTGTAAGCGTTACTTACGGTAGATTGCAGGGATTCTTTTTGAGCATTCGCTACGTGAGTGGATTTTGACTGGCATTCCAAATAAGGACCGCGCTCTGCGTTAAACTAAACAGTCGATTCGATCACGGAGATCCTAGTTGAAGCAGCTGAATTTTGAGTGATATCCGCCTCGAAAACATCGAACTCTACGACCAATCTTGAACTAGTTTCATCTCATTACTTAGAGATGGAAGGCAGCGAACCCTGATCATTTGGGTGTTATTTTAAACTGTTACCCATAATCTATCGAGTAACATCAGGCAACGCTTGTCACCATGGTTAATAACTGGTTGGTGAGTCCTTTTGAAGCAATGATTGTGTGAGTGGTTTCGACGCGCAATCTCAACGTGGACCGCAATTAAATAAACGAATAACTGTTTCATTGTTAACAATGTGAGACACGCTTGCATAGGCATGCTCATAGTGATATAACCAGCACTGGTAAATGTAAAAGCAGCACAAGTTTATAAATGACATATGGATCCATGTGGTAAGCGTGTCTGAATGCAGGTAGTTAGAACGTGCCATCGCAATGAGGCTGGACCTTACCGTGGTGCGATGGTTTTCGTGCCCCAGAGATCCATGGAGCTATTCTGGGTAGTGCTTTTTGCACCTTCAGAGCCACTCATACCAGGTTGGTCAATTGTTAGAGGCCAGACAAACTCAGCCTCCTGGTTCTCCAGGTTAGGGGTTGGAATGAGGTGGCTCTTTTTTTTCATAAAACGGGCTCTGTAGCCCAGTGCCAAAACCCGCTGCCTTGCGGTAAGGTTTTTGAACCAAAGGCTTTGATTGAGAACCCTAATCGTTCTTCTGTCTAGGCCTTGGCAATCTGACATTATTCTGCCCACGCAATACAATGAACCCTCCATCAAACAATTTCTTAATGCTCTGGCCGTCACAGAGGATAATAAACGGCGCCCTATCTGCTGCATCGAACAGGGTGGACAGGGGTATGGATGCCAATGCTCAGGCCTTCCCGTCTTCTTATCCCACTTCTTGCGCTTCATCCTTATCGTACCGCTCCGACTTTACTTTTATCCCCCAGTTTTCAACCCTCCAATTCTTGGCCCTCCCTCACCTTGCTTCAATAGTCGCTTGTCTTCTAGTTTCAAATCACACACAGTCGCAGAACGTCACTCCAATCCAGTCGACAATTCCATGTTCAACCAAGCGGACAACGTCAGTTCATCCGTTTCCCTTTGGAGTCCTCGCGTTTGCTAAGACTGGCAAGCCTCAACCTGCGCACTTGACCACAGAATGGTCAATAAGCAGCCTTTGTCCTCACATTAGAGACCCTATCGATCGATATTTGCTGTTTATCAGAAACCCACCTGCAAGATTCGAGCTCCGTAGTTACCCTGCGATCCCCACATGAGACACTGGCGGCACATTCTCATTGCGTCTGTCTGGCGATGAAGCAGCTTCAAATGCCGCTCAAGGTGGTGTCGGCATTGTTTTGAGTCCCCGGGCTGAAACTACCCTGATCGATTGGATCCCAGTCAACAGTCGGGTGTGCGCCGTTAGATTAGCTGGTTTGTTCCGTGCTACGAAGTCTCGCGGGGACCAACGGTATCTGTTTTTTTTTCGCGGCTTACGCCCCTACAAACGGTAGCACTGATTCTGTGAAAGATGATTTCTATCAGCAACTTACCGATCTCCTTCGCTACAGAAGAAGCCCGGAGACTGTGGTGTTGGCTAGCGAGCTAAACGCCCAAGTCGGAAAATTGTCCTCTGTTGAGCTTCATCTGAGCGGCCAACCTGGTGTAGGCCCCCGTAATGATAACGGTGAGCGATTGCTCCAGCTGTGTGAAGATGCTCGCCTTATTCTCGCGAGCACAATCTTTCGACACAGCACCTACAGAAGCGTGACTTGGTGGCCACCAGCTTCGGGCCAACCATGGACGCAAACAGATCATTTACCGCTGGAGAGGCTGTGTCCAAAACTGTCGCTCGAGTTGGAACACGAGCGTGGATTCTGACCACGCACTTCTCTGTGCCGACTTCCGGGTGCGTTTCGGTGGACGTCCGCAACGTCAATGCGAACGAATTTACACAAGCCAGCTGGCAAATCGAGATGTTCTGAATGTGTATCAAGGTGCGCTGAACTCTGGGCTGCGTAAGCGCCCACTAAACACTGTCAAAGGCCACTGGTCGCATATTCTTAAAACGTTACTGTTAGCAGCCATGTCTTCATGTGGCAAAGCAAATTGCAAACCTAGACATTGGGTCTCTACACAGTCTATGGAAATTATGGATCCTGGCCGACATATTTCGGCTGAAAGCGAATACAATGAGACTCGCAAAAATCTCAGGGCAGAACTAGGTGCTGGCCTGAAGAAAAACCGCGAAAGCTGGTGGTCTCATCGTGCCTCTGAGATGGAAACAGCCGCTACCGTTGGCAATCATCGTAAGTTATTCCGTCTGATACGGGAAACAGACAGCAGGAGACCTGGTGTTAGCGATACCATACGCGACGTAAGTGGGAAGCCGATCCACAGCCTGACAATATAACAAACCTGAGTTATCGCTTTTTTCGGGAATTAAGCGCCCTTCTTCCTGGACCCGCCCTCACGCGCAGAAGTCGAACGTGAGATCAAGCTGTTGAATTGCATAAGGCCGCAGGGGCAGATATAATTCTCTCAACCCTCTTCAAATTCAGGTGACCTGCTCTAATGGATGGTTTACATGAGTTGTTAGTGAAAATTTTGGAGCAGGAGACTGTCCCAACAGACTGGAACCGCCTTGTCATTGTCCCGATTTTCCAGGAGGCTCCCGTTTGAAATGCGGCAATCATAGAGGGGTCAGTCGGATCACAATTGCTTCTAAATTGCTTGCGTCTGTCATTCTCCACAGACTGACTGACACTCATGAAAGCCAGATTCGTGAAGAGCAAGCCGGGTTTCGTCGAAGTCAGGGCTGCATCAACCACATCTTCACCTTGCATCAATTGTTGGAGCACCGCCATATTTATTGGCTGCCCACTGTTGTCGTGTCTTCGACTCAGTCGATCGACGTGCCCTTTGGGACTATCTGCTGAGAAAAGGTGTGCCTGCGAAATATGTAAACGTTATCAAAGCGCTGTACGCGCATAGTCCGGGCAAAGTGTGGGTTTATGGCAAACTGTCGCCACCCTTCAGTATCAGCAGCGGTGTGAGACAAGGATGCTCGCTGTCACCTTTTCTCTTCAACTTCGCTATTGATGAAGTCATAGAAACGCGTTCGCTGGACACGACCTAGATGGTGTGGAGCTACTTCCTGGTGAGCGACTTCTTGACTTGGAGTATGCGGACGATATTGCCCTAATCTGTGACAGCTCCCAGGCATGCCAAGCAGCGCTGGACCGATTAACGCTGGCTATCAATCGTTTTGGGCTATGATTTACTCCATCGAAATGCAACGTACATATCTAATATTGGCAGGGACCCAACCCTGCGATAACGCTTGTTGGTGATCAGCTAGAAGTCGTTCAGGATTTCAAGTACCTGAGCAGCTATATTAGCACTCTTGGGATTGAAGATGAGGTTAGGAACCGAATAGCAGAAGCTCGAGGTGCTCTAGCTAATATCCGTCACCTGTGGCGCAGACGCGACATTACCATCGCCCTGAAGGGCAGAGTTTATAACGCAGCCGTCCATTCAACTCTCCTATATGGTTGTGAAACCTGGCCCATCAGGTCGACAGACATAAAGAGGCTCGTCATATTCGATCATCGCTGCCTTCGCAGCCTAGCTCATGTCTAGAGGTAGCACCGCGTGAGCAATGAGCGTGTTGGGCGTCGCGTATTTGATGCAGAAAGAACTATTGAACCGCTCACGCACCGGGCTCCGATGGTTGGGCCACGTGTTGCGCATGCCAGCACACCGACTTCCGCGACGTGCATTGTTTGCGCGTTGTGAGTGCAGTTGGAAGAGGAGAAGGGGAGGCCAAGGGATGACTTGGTCGAAAGGAATGAAAACCCTCACCTCAAAGTTGGCGTCGGTTGGTGCATCCCGAGGGCCTGGCTTGGGTCCTAAGAACGATGAACATCTTTGGCTGGACACACTTGCTGATATGACTAGGAGCCGGGCCCTATGGTGTTTGTGTTGTGAGTTCCTTTTCCATCCACCTCCTGCTTGGCATCACCACCAATCACCATCTCACTCGTTAGGCATAATACGACTCTCTTTTTACGGCGCGATAGCCAGCTATTAGCTCTCCGGAACGATGTCCATCCGTTACTGGGGACTCAATCGTTGTGCCACTCTTTGCTTTCCTTTTCTTGTCTTCTGTATTGCGGCACATAGTTGTGGTGTTTTCCACCTGCAGCTAACATGTATAATGATATGATGAGTTAGAACGTGGATGGTTGTGTTGCTTTGATTTGGGAATGTGACGTCCTATTTGTGATTAATTTCCTTCAGGCGTGAGAAGAAGTGAACTCAAATTTTCGTATTGGATGACCCACGTTTGTGGAATGGGTTAGATCATCCGAGCGCTTCGAAACACCCCTTTTAATTAGTCATTAATTATTGTGACAAGCGCTGCCTGCTTCCATGGCTAAAACATCTATTCGCGGTAATTTTGTGCATCCTGAGAATAAAACTCAATATTTCTTATCAGACAAAAGGGTAGTGAATATCGAATTGTTGATTTAAAACTTTTATCTTCCATCCAGCGATCTTGTTGAATCACAGGCGTAGGTTGATTTTAACGCAACACATTGCGCTGCATGCTACGTCAGTGCACTTATTTCATTAACTTTCTCGTCTTATTTTCATATGTTATTTCAGCTTCCTTATTAAATTGTACATCTATTTCATATTTAACAAATAGTGCTTCAATAAGGTTAGCTGGATTCCGTTTTCTACACCTGTCGCAGCAGTTAAGATTCACTTATTATACGATGATTTTGGGATTCTAAAAGACTTTCCAGCTTTTCCGCACAATTTTCTAATTGATTGTTTACACGATTTACTCATTTTACGGGTCCCCCCCCCCCGCAAGTGACAACTGGAAGAAGGCCGCTAGTAGGGGTTTCAGAATGTTGTGGTTAATACGCCGTTCTTTCGGGGTCTTAACTGCCGACATTTTTGTGAAGCTGTTCTCAGCTTTCGTCCGGCCCCATCTGGAATACTGCGTCCAGGCTTGCCCGCCCTGCCTTGTTCGGGACAAAATGGAGCTTGAAAGGGTTTTGAGAGTAGGTACCAAATTGGTCGAGGGGTTACGGGGGCAATCGTACTCCGAGCGTCTACTTAGCTTGGGTATGTATTCAATGCACTACCGACGTCTTCGAGGAGACCTAATCCTTACTTATCGCATTTTAACAGGGAAGGTTGGACCGGACTTGAGCTGGCTATTTAGCCCGGCTAGGTTGCCTTGTCTTCGCGGTCATCCCATGAAGCTACACAAGCCGCGTTCTGACCGGATAAGGGTGGAAACTCGGTTATCGCGTAGTTGTCGAGCGCTGGGATTCGCTTCCAGAAAGTAGTCAGTGAACCTACGGTTAAGGGATTCGAGCGTCAGTTAGACGCTCTTGGGTGGCAACACGAAACCTTTCCCTTCTCCTGACCATATCCATCTTCAAACCGTTAGTTCTTATTCTGTCATTCTCCTCAATCTTTAGTGTTATCCTTCATTTTAATGACTTTCATTCCCCTTTATCTTCCATTTGCTTTCTACTTCTTTCTCACTTCACGTAACCTACACAGCGCGGACTGCTAATGCAGGGAACGTGGGCAGTAATTGGTTGACCAGGGTGTTTTTGGGTGTATCGTTTTAGATCTATCAAGAACTAGCACCTTATCGTTTCCTGGCTCAACGATTTGCTCAAGTAGGAACACTTAAGGGATTTTCCTATCGTTCCAGTCCATCTGAATCTGAAAGTTCAAGTTCGTAGGCACCCGATTCAGCACTTGTCTGTTTTATGTCTTACGGTCTTGGTACCCGCTTCTTTTGCTTCATCTGTTTACACCTCTTTGACGCCTCTTCGAACAATGCCTGTTATATCCGATATTTTTTACTTTCTGACATTGACACTCGATTGCATGCTTCTTCCGGGACTGATATGTATTAGTCTCATATGATTGTCTTTTAATATCATAGTTCTATAATTCTCTATTTCAACCGTATTAACCGGCAGAAAAATATATCATACTGGCTCAAAATGTGTTTATGATCAGTATGCGGTATCCTGTTTGCTTTCAATTAGTTATGATGGGTGGCGGATCATTTTACTTTTTGGGTGATGCACAGTCACTCGTGCCGAAGGTCTGCAAAAGGTCAACTCAATGATCTGATTCGCTGTAGAAAACTTTACCCTGGATGTAAGTAACTAAACGCTATAGTTGCTGATGCAAGGCATACCGGTACAGGTTAGCAACCTTGAAAATACTTATGACTGTTCATTGGATACATAACGCACTATAGTATTCTTAGAAATATGTTTCAATCCTAGTGCCAATCTGCAATAACTTGTGTGTGCTAGTTACACCAAGTAGTTTTAAAACATTAAAAACATTAAAAAGGATGTAACAACTCACTTAAAAGAGGAGTAGATTAGTTTTTTTTCTAATTTGGGCATTAATGTTACGTCTTTGAGTAATTGCATGACTGCTGTTTCAGAACCAGATATCAAATTTCCATTCAGAAATAAGACGTTAGGCAACCTTGATATTGTTATCACATTTTGTTTGTATGTCCCAATACAAAACTTGAATCCAAGTGACTTTAAAATCTTGAATAGCTTTTCACGAACATCTGGAGATAAACCATTCATCAATTTTCCCAATATAGTCGGGACTTCTAGGTTAACAGGTACAGAAGAAAAGAACCGTCGGCCGCAAAAATCTGTTGGTTTGCTACTGAGCCTTTCAAACGCCGAAAGAGATTTTTCTAGCAGTACCCTTTCGTGGGCAGCGTGTTGATCAATCGCAACGATGAGAGCATTTTTACGTGTCTCTTCATTTTCCGAACTATTTCTTTCGTCCCGACACAGAACGAGAAGGATGCTTTCATTAATTTTTCCAATCAGTTTTGCGTTTGACAATTGTAGAGTTGTAAGTTCAACCTCGCTTCCAATGTTTTCCAACATCAACACACGGATATATATATATTTTTCAACTAATCCGCTTTATCCAATTATGACCTTGAAAAGCTTTAGGAATGTGTAAAGAGTGATCGAAACTAGTTCGGCGCGTGGTTGAATTTAAATCGTTGCTCTGACGACAACTTTTCTGTCTGCCTTTCAGAAAGACACTTCTGCGCCATTATTGAAGAAGGACAGAAACCTGAAGCGAACAGTTGACTAGCCTACGTGTTGCGTAATAGAACTTACGTCTCAATCCTTGTGGTTCTCCCTTGTCTGCATTCTACAATTGGCGACCCTGCCAGGATCCAGAGATAATGGCAAAACCAGGTAAACTGTCTGGTGGTGAAATTCAGCCGGTGACCTCCGATCCGGGGGTAAGGATTGCTTCCGCTTTGGAATCCTTGTCGGACACTATGCAGAAGATGACAACAAATCGGACACCCGCCCCTTCCACACCCCCGTTACCCCCTCCAGAAAAGTTTTCTCCAGGCATGCCATATCTCCGATGGGAGAAACAGGTGCAAATGTATGTCAAGCATTTTCCAGCACAACAATGGGGTACGGTGATCATGGGCCTGCTGGCAGGAGAGGCATTCGACAAAGTTACGGATAGCAAAGTCTTAGAGGGAGAAGTCACTACGGAAACCTTCTCTGCCCTTCGTCGCATCTTAGATCGGCGTGGCCTGCCCGATGAACTGCGCAGAGTTTTCCATGCCCGGTATCAGAGACCGGGAGAAGACGTGGAAACATTCGTTCGCGAGTTGCGGAGGATGGCGATAAATGCCTACACAGATGAAACGCCGGAACAACAGGACGAGCGAGTGTTAGAGCAGTTGCTCGAGGGCATCCAGACGCCCTCGGTAAAAAGAGAGTTCCGGTTACGACGACCTACGTGTCTTCAGTCAGCCTTAAAAGTGGCAGATCAATTAGAGCAAGTCGACGAGTCCATGGGCCCCCTGGAAACATGCTGCGTACTGAATCGATACCGCCCCGCTAGACTCCAACCACCAGACCGAAGAAATTGGAATCGCGTCCCGTTTCGAGGGGATTATTCGCGACCTCCAGTGCAATCGTACTTCCGGCGGCCCCGCCGACCAATTCCGAATCGCGGTCTACCTCGCTACAATAACGGACGCCCAGGTGAGTGGCACCGATTGCATTCACACTCTATACCAACCATTGTTTGTGCGTCGACCACAGATTCAGCGTTAGCAATAGAATTACAGATCGCAGGGGTTCCATTGATAGGTCTCATCGACACAGGTGCATGTAAGAGCCTAATCAGATCTAGTTTGACTAATCAGCTAGCAGAACATGTATACGCGCCTTGTCGCTGTCGACTAACTGCCGCCAATGGAGAATTCTTGTCCGTTCGGGGATCCCTAACCGCACAAGTTAACGTCGCGAAACAGAGTTTCACCCATGAGTTTATCGTTGCGGACAAAATTCCGTTTGCTGTTATTGTTGGGATGGATCTGTTACGCCGGTTGAAGTGTCGATTAGATCTGGACAGGTGCCAACTAATCACCGATAACTGTACAGTTTTGTTAAAACCCTGTGGAGGTGGTGCTTTGGAAGCATCTACAACCTATGAGGACACCTTAGAGAGTGAAAAGTACATTAACGCCTTTATTCGCTCACTCGACAGAGTCACGGATGAGCAGACACTGAAGCGGCTCAAAGACGTGTTGCGCAAACACTCAGACGCATTTGCATGGCGCAGTACCGACTTGGGTCGAACCAATCTCGTGAAACACCGTATCGACACCGGGGATGCAATCCCGATTAAAATCCCCCCAAGACGCATACCATTACATTGGCAGACTGAATTGCAAAAGCTCATAGATGACATGATAGAAAAGGAGGTAATACGGCCCTCGACTTCACCATGGGCAGCCCCGGTTGTTCTAGTGAAAAAGAAGGATGGTGGTTTCCGCCTATGTGTCGACTATAGACGATTAAATGAGATTACTCGAAAAGACGCTTTTCCCCTCCCCAGGATCGATGATCTATTTGACGCACTAGGAGGATCAGTTTATTTCAGTACGCTAGATTTGGCTTCCGGCTACTGGCAAGTAGAAGTGGAGGAGAGCGACAGAGCGAAGACGGCGTTTGTAGTACCATCAGGTTTTTATGAGTTCCAGACCATGCCTTTTGGCCTCTCTAACGCCCCTGCGACTTTTCAACGACTGATGCAGAAAGTGTTACACGAATTGATGCCCCATAAGTGTCTCGTTTACCTGGACGATGTCATTGTACACGGAAAAACAAAAGACGAACACCTAAACAACTTGGCGGAGGTGCTAACACGCCTAGTAAATGTGGGCCTCAAACTCCAGCCCACAAAGTGCCATTTACTACAGACCGAGGTAACGTATCTTGGGCACGTCATTTCGGGGATGGGGATTCGTACTGACCCACGTAAGACGGAGCAAGTGAGATTATGGCCAACCCCGGCCAACGTTGATGAACTACGCAGTTTTTTAGGGTTAGCCTCATACTATCGGCGATTCGTGAAAGGGTTCTCAGAGATCGCTGCGCCTTTGAATACCTTGTTACAGAAAGGTAAAACCTTCGAATGGACCGTTGAGTGTCGAAATTCCTTCGATCGATTACGAGAATCCCTTTGTGAAGCTCCGGTGTTGGTTTTCCCCGATCTGTCACCAAATGCTGGGGAGTTTATTCTAGACACGGACGCGAGCGACCAGGCGATTGGAGCTGTTTTGTCACAGAAGGGGCAGGACGGAATAGAACGAGTGGTGTCGTACAGTAGTAGAAGCCTTACGTCAAGAGAAAGAAATTACTGTACGACAAGGAAAGAAATGTTGGCGTTGGTGTTTTTCATAAAACAAAATCGGCACTACCTTCTAGGAAGAAAATTCTTAGTACGGACTGATCACCAATCACTCAGGTGGTTGCAAAACTTCAGGGACCCTGAGGGGCAGATTGCTCGATGGCAGGAGCAACTACAGGAGTATGAGTTCGAATGTCACCATCGGCCTGGGAAACTACACGGCAACGCGGACGCGCTATCGAGGATTCCGTCTCGAGATCACGGAAACTGTCCTTCCTGCATTACGCAACACGTAGCGCTAGTCAACCTACAGAAAGCCGAGTATGGTCGTTGGCAAGAGGCACAGGCTTCGGACCCCGACATATCACTCATCTACCATGCGCGGCGCTCGGGAAGGGACAAACCAGCTCCGAAAGAAATGGAAGGGAAAAGCTACGAAGCTCGGTGCTTGTGGGCGATGTGGGATAAACTCGCCATCGAAGAGGGTGTGTTGGTCTTCGATTTCGGCCCCACGTACCTGAGGAGGATTGTTGTTCCCCAGGCGTTAGTTACCGAAGTGCTGTCGGAACTGCACCAACAGCTGGGACACGCTGGAATCAATAAACTCGAATCGGCGGCGCGTCAACGATTTTGGTGGACGCACCAACGAAGAGACATTGTCAACTTCTGCCAAACTTGCGAAAGATGCGCGACGTTCAAAAATCCGCCTATTGCTCATAGGGCACCATTACAATCCATGACAGCAGGTTACCCGAATGAAATAGTTGGAGTAGACCTTGTTGGTCCACTACCGGAAACGCCGAGAGGGAATCGCTACATTCTAGTCATGGTAGACTACTTCACCAAATGGTGCGAAGCCGTGCCAATCACACAGGCTGATACTCTCACTGTGGCAACAGCGATGATTAACCACTGGGTTTGCCAATGGGGAGCGCCTGGGCAATTGCATTCCGATAGGGGATCATGTTTCGAAAGCTCACTGGTCCAGGAGATGTGCAGAGTACTCGGTATTGATAAAACGCGAACGACGGCCTACCATCCACAAGGGAACGGACAAGTTGAACGTACGAATCGGTCGTTGAAGTCACTCTTGAAGGCGTTCGTGGACCAGAACATTTACGAGTGGGATACGTTATTGCCTAAATGCTTATTGGCCTATCGCAGTACGGTCCACTCTTCTACCGGACAAACGCCGTCGTTTATGTGGACGGGTAGAGAAGTTCGGTTGCCCTCGGATGTCCGATTACCGAGATCACAACAGGTATACCCGTCGGTTGTTGAATATGTCAGCAAACTCCTCGACTCCGTTCGACGCACACACGAAGCGGCACGCATCCATTTGGCGAACGCTCAACGGCGACAGAAGGAATACTACGACAAGAAGGTCTTCGGTGTCCCGTTGAAAGCAGGCGACCTCGTATATTTGCATCAGGCACCGGTATCCGGAATACCAGCGAAACTGCATCGTGAGTGAGCTGGCCCCTACGTGGTAGACCGAATAATTTCTGATCTGACTTGTGTGGTTAGGGACCCAAAGAACGCCGTTGGGCCGTCCATGGTCGTACACTTTAATCGGCTTAAACCTTTCCATATCGAATCTGAGCATTCGGATGAGGAACATCACAATGAGCCACCGATAGAAGTAGCCACCGAAGTTGAAGTACCAGCTCAAGGGGGCTTTGGTGTGGCAACGGGGACGTTGCCTATATAGAAGGGGTGCGGTGTAAAGAGTGATCGAAACTAGTTCGGCGCGTGGTTGAATTTAAATCGTTGCTCTGACGACAACTTTTCTGTCTGCCTTTCAGAAAGACACTTCTGCGCCATTATTGAAGAAGGACAGAAACCTGAAGCGAACAGTTGACTAGCCTACGTGTTGCGTAATAGAACTTACGTCTCAATCCTTGTGGTTCTCCCTTGTCTGCATTCTACAAATGTGGTAGCTAAATTATTCTTGTATCATCTCATAGCCCTATAAAAATAACTTATTCGTTCATTTGAAGGATATTAATACGGCATTTCTGTTCTAAACATATTGTTTCTGCCCTCTGGATTCACGATTGACGTAGAACTTATTTCGGTTATGATGCCATAAAGTCTTCTGTTGCTGAAATAAAACGAACTGCGAGCTAAGGTGATTTACGTATACGATAATTGCCTTTGTCTTTTCTTGTCATGCTCTTGCTCGATGAACTTTTTTCCCCATGCATTCCACCTAATCGAGCTGGTGGTTACTGTAACGCGTCAGTGCCCCAGTAGCAAGTCAGCAAATAATTTTCGTCG